GAAAATGCACTAATAATTTTCCGAGTTTTCACTAACATTATCACAGGTGTAACATAAATATTTAGTGTTTTCAATTTATATTATAATTTTCAATCGATTAGATTAATCTAATAAAATTGAAAAACAAATTTATATTTTTCATTCACGTTATTATATATTTGATCATTCCAAAATTATTATATTTAAAATTTTTTGTATATTTATAGATATATATAAATTTTTTTTTTTTTTTGTTATCCAATATATATAACTTAGTTACATAGTACACAAGATTGTTTTCATATAGTAACCACCACGAGTTAATAAATTAAATAAACATTTAGTTAGCTCTGGAATTTTGCAGATAAGACACTGGTTATTTATTTTATTTTTAATATGGAAGAGCCAAAATAAAAAAAAAATATATTCAAATTACTGTATGTTTATGATTATTGTAAATAAGATAATTAGATATCAATTATAATAAAATGCGAAACAATATATCGATGTAATATTAAATAATTATTAAAAATAAAAATAAATACAAATTTAATTTTTAATTATCATATCAAAAACTGTCAATATAAATAAAATTTGTTGTGGTCATTTTTAGTATGTTCATAATATAAATAAACATATATATTAAACATTGTATTAAAGGTTTTTATTTACGTTGTAAAGATATTTTCATAAAATAAATTTTATTTGTAAATGAGGGAAAATCTTGGTAATATATCTAGTATTACGTATTTATCTAGTGCAGATTATAATAGCCTATGATATTTCTAAAATCGTAAAAAACAATCAAAAAAAAAAATATCGTCAAATTTTTTCAATATAGTTTACGAGCTGATTCCGATCAAACAAAAATACAGAGAATTTTAAATATTATTAAAGATTTAAAAATAGGCACGCATAATACGATATCAATTTGATACAAATCTGTGGACACATTGTGTTTTCACCACTTGCAACCGCAGTAGACTACCTATTGTAAATGGTGAGTAGATATTGCGACAGCGAGTGGCCAACGCTACCTATGTACAAGTGTCATAGTAATAATTATGTATACGAGTATACGTACCAAACTATACATGAAAAAATCATTATAAATAGTCAGCTACTATCAAGTACATCAAACGGTGACAAGGTAAGTGGCGTAGGTAATCTTAACACGTAGGTAGTTGAGACGCATATTTACTATAGATGCAAATACGCGGTTACTAATTATCATCGTGGCACGTCGATATTTTCCATTAGGTAAGTGCATAATATCTAACAGACGATGGCAATTTAGATTATTATATCAATGAGGTCTTGTCGTTAGTTATCAATCGTTGAGATAAATAATTAGATTTCGGAGTTCAGACAGTAATCAAAAGCGGAATCGAATAATCAAAACGTGCGTGTCGGTGTGACTTTAAAAAAGGGAACTGGTAAGGCTGTACGAACTGTACTAATGTAGGTACGAAGAAACAAAAAATAATAATGTGTCGTCTGTGGTCTGCAGGAGTATACAAAATCATTATGATATGTATTGTATTATAAATGTTTCGAATTTCTTTAAATATTTTGGCTATGGCTAAAATCGTAAAAATATTAGTTATACCCAATACTTAAATGTATGTTATACATATATCTAACCAGTGGTGGATTTTACAGGTGGCCTGAGGGGCCTCGCCCCCCACCTATTAGCCTATTAATGAATAGTAAATATAGATAAGTAATTGAGTGTGTGAAAAAAATTATATTTATATTTGGTGACCGTAGGTAATTTCTCAAAACCAAATTTTATAGCTCATCAAAAAACAGCTACAATATTCTTATGGTTTAAATAATTTTGTTTCTATATAGATTTATTTTGTCATGGGTTGAACTCAGATTTGTTTTTTATATTCCTGAAAATAAGTATTAATCTGACTAAAATTTTGATGACCAAAAATATCTTTTATTTTTATATAAGTATTAGAATGCCACCGAATATGGCCAGACAATATTTATTGGTACCTATGAGTATTATCCATAGTCCATACATACACACAAATGAGAATATAAACAAATATCATTTATTTTTAAATTATTTATTAAACGATAAAAATATTATAACAAGGTACTATGTTTAATAAGAATCTACCTATTGATATAATAAAGCTGTCTATAATAGATTTGATTTCATGGCAAATATGTTTATTACCTTTACAAAGTTCAAGTTAATATCAGTTGAAAAGGATAAATCCAAATGTCTTGACCACTTTGTTGAATTTATATTTCCTTGATTATTCGTAAAATTAAATATATTTTGGCGTTTAGGTTGATTTATAATAATAACAATTATCATTAAACAAATCTAATAATAGTAACAGTATTGACTTATTTTTATGTCTTGTTAGTTCTTTTAAAATACTAAAATATTTCAAAAAAAAATAACAAGTTATAGCTATTTCAAAAAATGTCTATATTATTAACAATTACCACCCCACTACCTACCTTAACATGGACTGTGGCAAAGCCCTAATCTTTTGCATGTTTAAACCGCCTCTTGCCTATGGTATAGTTGTATTATGTAAATATATACCTGAATTAAAGAAATCTACTTACTACCAATAGGTACCTACGTATTTAGGAAAAACACCTTATTTTTACAAAAAAAAATTAGTTTGAATTAATAGTTTCGATGATAAAATAACTTTAGTGGTAGGTACTTAACAGATGTAAGATCAGCATCACCTTCGCGGGACCTGATATAAGTACTTAATATGTTTATTTTTATGTATTTTTTATTTACTATTTTGAATAAATTGTCATACATTTTGATGACATAAAATACATACTTGAATAATGTAAGTTGTGACTAAATCATCGAGCATTAAGATAAATGATAGGGCAGGTTACATCTAGTCACACTGTATAGACTAAAGAGCCGACCGACTAATATTTTTCAAATTTATATGTATAATAAAATTTAATTTAACTACCTATGTATAATTTATATTTAAAAATATATTACACTATGAGAAAATGATATGAAAAATTCAAGCTGCTGTGGAAAATAAATAAAATAATTAGATTTGTTTAATTTAAAATATTTTTGAAATAACTGGGAACCTCATTAAATCATTTACGCACCTAACCAACAAATTAATAAAATCAATCATAAATAATATAGGTATTAAAAAAAGCATAAATAGTATTTACACAAAAATAAAGCTAAAATAATAATATGGTACCATTTTATATATATTTTAGTAACGTCACAATCACACATTAACCATTGTTAAATAAATTTCTCGAATAATAAAAATAGCAAAATTTGCTAAATAGTTAGACATTAAATTGTAAATTTGAATTCCCATAAAATCAGAAATCTTTTGAAAGCCATTTTTTTCTTTGGCCTAAATTGAGAATATTTATCTACTGCGTACGCCGTACGTATTACCTATTAACACCGTGTTTTAATGCAAAAAATAAATTGTGTTTTTAAGTACCTATATAATAAACTTAGAAATTTAAAAAAAATTCGTTCCATTACTTATACAAATTAGAGCAGTCATCAGTGTGGCATATTACATGGCTTTTAAAGTAGTTATATATTAAATAAAACTGGAGACAATTACGCTGTACTTTGTGGTACTCCACATTTTATTGTCAATTCGAGATAAGAAATAAAATCGTTTATTTTTACTACTATTGTTTCTTAATATTTAGGTAGAATCTACTTCTATACATTTATGATATAAATTTTATGTTTAATGGCAGTGATGGATATACAATATTTAAATAGAAAATAGTAATATTAATAAAGGTGAAAATATCACAATATAATGATAAGGCGCAATTTGAGTGATCGATTTTGACCAGAACCACTGACCAGGTTATAATGCATAAGTACTAATACAATTTATTTTTTGCTGTTTTTAAGCTATTAATGACTAATGAGCTAAATACTAAAAACGTTTAACATCTATTTATTTATTTTTTTAATTTACGTTGAAAAAATGTGTTCTTTGAGCAAAAATCTAGACAATTTAATGCAAGATTTCATAAGTTATTCTTGTAGCAATTTACACATGTCAAAAATACAACCACAATATTTTTTTGAAATGTGAACACAATGCAAGTATGAGTTGTATTACAAAGGTACAAAATTAATAGAAAAGTTTGTATTCAGTAGTTTCAATTTTTTGTAGTGAGCTTTAATAATATAGTGAATTTACCTATCTATAATCAAACTTACAGGTAAGAACATAGTCCTGTATTTTTCATGGATATTTTTATTAAGTTAAAATTTTTAAGCAAATTATGAGCATGTAAAATATGACGATTTCAAAATTTCTAAAATTAATTTAAAATTTAAAAATATCAATTAGAAATAACTGATAATATTCTTATCACTAAGAAATTCACTCTAATCTATCGAACTCTAGATAGTTTTCTATGAAAACTTGAAACGGCTGAACTCTGATTGTTACCGTTAGTAAGACTAAGACTTCACATACTGATTAGTGATAATATTATAGGTACATTAATATATATTATATTTATATATACCATTTGTACACAATGATGTATTTTTGAATTTAAATTTAACATAATATCTACATTATTTCAATAACAAATTACACGCAAAACCTATGACGTAACAAGTGATTCCAGCATTTTTTTTTATAAAAATAACTGATTTATAATATACTGATTTTCTTATTTGTTTATTCTTCTTTTTTAACAATATTACTCAACAAAGAAAAAATAAAATATTGTTTTGAATTTTACTACATAATTTCCAAAGAACAAATAATACTTAAAAATAAAAACAATATATTAATCAACTAAAAAAATTTAGCTTCATTTAAATTCTTTAACCTGATATATTGATAATAAATTAAGTATGTTTATATAAAAATGCTTTGTTCAGAAAATATTATTTGTAAACTTTAAAATTAAGTAGGTAAATACATATATGTATAAGTGTGTGTGTACATGAAACATGTATGTGTATAAGTGTGTAATTCATGTTTTTATATTCTAATATTTATAAATTTAATACAGTATTCATTATATATGTACATCCCATTGGCATTAGAGAATACAATTTAATAGATACGATTCAATGCTAGCAAAAGTGAAAAAAGAAATTGAATCTGACATTTTCTTGTACACAATGGAATGAATATTTTATCGTTTTGACTTTATCATCGATAACCCACTCAATAGAATTGTAATAGAACGTACATGTAAGTCATGTAACAATTCTAAGTTACTTGTTTCTTCTTCTTGCAATATATGATAGTAATCTGTTACCAAATAAGAATGTCGAAATTCCCAACAAACATAGATATTTCAATGTTATGAACATATCTAGGTATACCCAAAACATACCAAACAATATGAATATGCCTAAAAAAATAATAATGCATTACAACCAATACTTAATTAATAAAAAGAATAATTATTTAATATGATTTAAGCCACTTACTAGCTAGTGCCAAATGAAATCCTATGGCACTCAAATTAAAAGGGAAATTTTTAATATTAACTTCCAAGCGAGCCCACTGGAAAAGTTAAATTTTAAATAAGAAATAGTTAATAAGAATTATAATTGTAATTAATACTCACCAGCACAAAAAGAACCAATAATGGCGCAAGAGACAATACAGTAAAAAGTAGAGAAACAATATGAGGTGGTCTAGGCTCAGGTTCTCTAAAAGTATGCTAAAACATAAACATATATAGTGTTAGACACAATACTTTAATTATAGTATGATTATTTTACATACAGAAATTAATTTTTTTGGTTTATAGAAATCTGTAAAAGATTCAGAAACATCTGATTCAACTTCGGAAAATTTCAATTTTATATCACTAAAATGCCAAACTATAGGATTTTTTAACAGGAAGTCACCAATTATCAAATCCATAGAATATAAACCAGATGTGTGTTTGAATGATATTGATTTAACACCTAAATCCTGAGGAGGAAAAAGTTTTAATTTAGTATACAGTTAATTAATTTCAATTGTTAAACTTACCATATCCAATTTATAATTATTTTGAGAGTCCAATTCAGCGACAAATACACTTTGAGAACCAGTCTTAATATTTGTAAACCTAATAAATGCTTGGTGTACTTGTACATGTTTCTTAACTTGATAGTCTTTGATAGCAAAGCGTACTATAATTCTTTGCATGTGGTCTGCTTTTAATGGAGTTGACAACTTTTCACCATATTTTAAACTAAAAATGTATGAATCTTTTTTAAACATTGATTCAATAGAAAATTCAAGAATATTATTCTTACGTTTGGAGTGATGGGCCTGTTTGTTGATCATTATCAGTTGTCCCAACTTTAAAATCAACAACATTCACAGAAGAAGCTGATACTTTTACCTCAAGTGGAATAGCTGTATTACCCAAAAGCGGAACCTTAATTTTTTCTAATGGTGTAGCACTTATTACTATACTATAGATTCCAATAGACAAATCTGGTTCATTAAACTCTAATTCATAAACAGTCCTGAAAACAAAATATAAAATTGGTTAGTAAAAAAAAAAAAAACTATACTAGTTACATTAGAACTAATTTACTTTAAAAATATAAACATAAACTCTTACTTATCAGTAGTAGATTTGAACTTATTTTTAGACATAACAACTTTATTATTTAACATTGCTGATTCAACACCAACAGAAAGAGAAGTTGGCAATGGTTCTCCAAGCAAATTAGTGAAACGCACAGACAGTATTTTTTGGGTATCATCTAGATCACCCATTGGTTTCACAAGTGTAGCAGCAATAGGCAAGTGATACTGTAAATATTTTAGTTATTATAAAAATAATAAAACAAAAGTTATTATACTATTATTGTATAAATAAATAAAAGCCAGTAAACAACATACTTTGTTATTGGATAATGTATTAAGAGCATTAAGTAAGAAATATGCTCCTTTGGGTGTTTGTACGGATTTACGAGACAAAAGATAATTACTAAACATCAGAGCTTGATCATTTTGAATTGGAAATGAAGTATTACATTGCACAGCATCACAAAATTTGTACACTCCAGTCAATACAAGTGCTAAAATTAAAATAATGAATAAACACGTCGTTTAAAATATTTTATTCATAACTTTACCAGTGACAGACAAGCCTCCTTCAAATTGTAAGAATTTACGATCAACCTGATCAACTTGCATAATGGCATCAGACAAACGATTGAAAGCAAAACGTCCATCTGGACCAAGACTTGCTAATAAATGTATTGAATATCCAAAACTGCAATAAAGTATATTATATTTATTGATACTTTTATAATTTTAATATATCTAGAACATACTCAGTAATAGTATCATCAGGCTTCATTTTTCTTTTTATAATATTTATAAGTTTAGTAATATCTTTGGGTTTGAGATTAAGATTACTCAAAATACTGACACCAAAATATAAATCAGACATGTGAACATCTCTAATATCTTTTTTCTCTAACATAGCATAAACATCCTAAAAGTACAAATAATTTATAACATTCAAGTTTCAAAAATAAAACAAATTGTATTACTTGGACTGCTTCATCAACAACTAATTTGCCTGAACACGTGGCAATTGCTTTCCATGCACTCGTTGAAAAATAAACAGAATCTAATGATTTTGATTTCCCAACAAATTTCACTAATTTATCACAGACGGCCTAAAATATAAATTTAATAATTTAATAAGTAATAACTAATTATAACAGAAGTAATATTTTATAATGTAAATAACCTTCAACAAATCAAAGTTAGGTACATTAATAACATACCAAATAATTATAAATGTTAATCCTGTATAATTCTATGTATTGTATAAATTTATTTGTTGTTCATAGGATTTTTTTTTAAATAAATTTAAATCAAACATATTTATATTTATATTAAAATAACATTCAATCAAAATATTTCATAATTTTTAGTTAATAAACAATACGAAAAATAGTAGATACTGAGTTCAGCAATTATGCCTAATGTAAACATTGAATAATTTAATACACTAATAAATAATTACTGAATAACACATTAACTAATAGTCTAAAATATTAATGATGTGAATATAATCATGGATAATGATATTTATTAAGCTTATAATTAATTAAACAAAAATAAAAAAAAATAAATTGGATAATAGCTGAAAAAATGTAACCATAATTTTAATTTGATTTGGAAACATGTAGTATAATAAAAACAAAAAAAATCATCTATAAGTTGTAAATTAAAATGAATATTAAATCACGGATTTAAGTAAACATTTTAAAATGAGTTTTATATTTTTATATATTCCATAAATTTATAGACTCCTCAATATGTCTACTACCATTTTGTGTAACACTCAACAATAAAATGTAATATAATTTAAATTGAATATGAGTACAGTATGCGGTCTATAAACGTATCTATTCTATTATACCTGAGATATCCAAATCACTATGATTATCATATTATTTATTACTTTAAAGCACTATAAATTTTAGCTTTTCATCTCCTATAATACACATTTTATCTTTAAATTTTCCAGTACTTATGTTATAAAACCAATGCTATTATAGTTTACAACTAAATAATAGATAAATTAACTTAAAGTTACTTGTCACATATTAAAGCGAGTATTTCAACTATACTTTAATTAATACAAAAAGTAACTTCAACAGCTACCAGTTTTTATTGGACAACTATCAGACAACACTCATTTGTCTCCTTATTGAATCAACAATCTGTAGGTATACATACCCTTACACAAAAGTGAGAAGTGGTTATTTCTTATGTCAAATAAAGTATAGTGTATTAAATAAATAAATAATCAACTTCTTAAAATACTTATAAAATAATTTTATCATGCTTATGACATATTATATTCTTAGCAAAAGAACTCAGTTAAATTAGTTATAAAAAATAATTATACAAATAAATATTTTTACTTTTTTATTTCAGTATATTGGGAGATAGTCATGCCAATTTATTAAGACACATTTGGTATTATATGATATAATATTTTAAAAAAGTATTTATTTTTCTCGGTGTTAAGATAATTGTATAAAAAGTTCATAGTTCACACCAAAAATTATTTCTATTGACATAGCTATTTAAAATAAAATAGTATTTTTTTTAATAAAGTAAATTTAGTATGTCATATAAATTTCTGATGTACAGGGCTCAGATTTTGCATCAAATACTTTTAATGTGGGTAATATGATAGAAAAATGATTTTCATAAACAGGAGATAAATTTTGTATAGTTCAAATTGAAATGAAGTAGACTTATTTTTTTCTGCTTATTTTAGAATAATTTTCAAAAACATTTTATCTATTACTATAATTGTAATATAATATAATTAATGTGTAATCTATATCAATTAACTATGAAATATTTAAATGGTAAACTAAACCTTTTTTTATTCAAGCAACAATAAACAAAAGAAGCCGAATATATTATAGTTGTTAATGTAGTTTATTTAGAGTAAATTATATAATCTCTTATGCACACTTACTTGAACATTAGGTATTTTTTGATTGAGCTGTTGCAATCCTGACACAGCATAGAAGACATCGGATAAATTTTCAGATTCTAAACCCGTAAGCAGTACACTCTTTAGTTGGTCTTTGTCTCTAGATGACAAGTACGTATCAACAGATAGACTTGACGAAAAACATAGACAACCAGTCGCCACAAAGAACAAAAATACTAAAAGAGCAAACAGTATAAAATTTTATCAAATTAATTTACATTAAAAAAACAATATCCAGTCATTGATGTTTTCTTACCAATCTTCATTATGATAGCTCTCAACCACACACACTAAATAAATGTGTTAAACTATGTGTTTGACTATACTAAACCATCACAGAGAATAAAACTGAAAGAAATCAAATAAAAATGAATTATTATGTATACACTTTATGGTGCTCTGACAGTCTGACGTAGCCGGCAGAATATTTTTCAATTTTTGTATACTCAATCAATTATGTGTTATCAGAAAAAATAATCGTTAGGTTATGTTTACATTGTTTACAACACGTCGCTTCTTCAATCTACAGCAAAGACGTGTCATTTTTACAACCATGGACCAGGTCACATCTCTTTATCAAAGCTCGGTTGATACCATATAAATAAAGATGTAAACATGATTATAATCATAGACATGAATTAAATATAACATAAATATATGTCTAATAAATAATAATATTATGTCTATACAGTTATATAAGGTGTATTTATAATATATCTGCGTATGTTTATGACTATAATAAAATATATATTTAGTATTTAGCCACGGATATATAATGCTTAGGATTAGGACGTCACAGGGTAATATTTTTTTTATGAATCATTAATTATTTTAAAAACTTTTATCGTTTTACAACAATTTTTTACATAATTGTAAGTAATTATTAATAAAAGTTTTATTTTTTTTATTTAACAATAATATGTCGAAGCAGAATATTACATTAATTGGAGTATTTTAGAGATTCATGATTCGTCCCACCACAAATTTCATATTTTTCCTTATTTAATTTGTTATCACGTAGGTTATCAACATTATCTATTATCTTGGTTATTTAAATTTGAAATTCTAAATATATCTTATCGTTGATAATTTTATTTCAATTATTTTTTATAATTTTCATTAATAAATTGTTAACTTAGTAATATCGAAATAACAAACTGAATACTGACTAGTACCTATAATTTATTGTATAATATGGACGAAATAGATGTATCATTTAGTATGAATGTTTATGTTTTTGTAGATGTCGATCATATGATTGAAACTGAAGGTAATTACTAATTTCTAAATGAATATTAAATAATTAGAAATTTAAATGGCCTTTTTCATAGTTTAATATTTATATAATCTGTGGTATTACCATATGTATAGGATCTTATGAAGAATTGGTGGATGTAATTCCAAATGATGACAATATTCAAGAATTATATTTCTAATTATAGACTGTTATTGATTGACAACAACTATGCTGGTCGACGAAATAAATAAGTATCATAATGAAGTAAGTTTATTATTTTTATAAACTGAAATAAAAACTAAATAACTAATAAATTATTATATTATCTTTAGAAAGTAATACAGTATATATGCCAAGCAATAAACGATTTACATGCAGTGGGGCATGTCTTATTGGACATAGAACTTATACATTTATATTTTAAAAAAAATGGGATTTTCAATGTTAATACAATTACACATTTAAAAATAATAGTGCACAAATTCAAAATTCGATCAATAATAAAAATAAAATAAAATGCACATATCCATCATTACACGACAAAATGTACACAGTTATACAGTAACATAATTTTTTTAATAATTAAATGTTCCATCAAAATACAATCATCTCAACAATAGTTTTTAAAGATAAAAATTAAAAAAAAAAAAATATTAATAACTAAAAAAAAAAAAAAAAATCGGCGATGCCATATATAGTAAACAAATGAAAAATATTGCATTTGAAATTCAGTAAGTTTCTTATACATTGAAATATATATATATATATATATATATTCATATTTTAAACATCTATTATTTACAGGAAGCAAATACCAAATAAAATTAACAAAAATATAATCTTACCAATTAATTGGAATATACCAAAGTTTGACTAAATAAAAAATCTCAAATTATTTAATACCATGCCAGATGTCTTGTATGAAAAATTTAAAGTATTTAGTGATGACTATATATTCATAAAAAATAAATATATCACCATACACAAGATATTAAACCATACAAATATATCGGATGATTTTTTTGTCATATAATAAATGGTAAGAAAATTTTTATATTATACAGTGTGATTACGATAAGTGGAAACACTCAATAACTATGTGCAGGCTTCATATATTTCAATTCTGCTTATTTTAGTTAACCAAATTATTTTTTTTAGGTATAAAACATTTTTTCATCTACTTTATTGACAAAAAATGGATGTTTGACACTTAATGTAGTTTGTTTAACACTCTTAGTATCATTCAGGCTGTGATATTTTGCAATAAACACGATAAGGTAGATTCATTGGCTAAAGACATGCGTTTGAAAGCATTGAAAGTCATGCATACAAGAATGGATCAAAGTCAACATGAGAATATTCTGTGTCATTTGTTCTGATGATAGTTCTATACTAATCACCACTCATTTGTTAGCTCAAACCATTGATGTACAAGTGTCTTTGGTTATTAATTATGATTTTCCGCTCAATCATGAACATTTTATTCAGTGGATTGATCATTCATGGTGTAAGGGGGTTGTTATTAATTTCATCACTAAAGATGACACATTAGCAATGAAATCTAGGCCTTTTTACAACACTTGTGTGATGGTAATTACATTAATTAAGATGTAATATTTTAACATTGGTTATTTTATTTTATCACTACAATCTATTTTAAATTTGATTTTCTTACAGAAATAATCCAATTCATACTTCTCTTATTCAGCCAAAAGTAGATTATATGAACCAAGCTAATAAATAATAATCGTATGTTATTATCAGTAAACATATCAACCAATAGTTTTTTTTTTCAAAATGCATTCTCGTTGTCATTACTGTGAGTCATTACATAAGTTATGATTACAGCTCATGAGAATTTTGTAAATTTAGATTTAGTTTTTTGACATCTAGATATTTAAAATGTTAATCATTTTCTCGAATCTGGATTATAGTGATGTTGTTCAAACAGCAATAGATAATTGTAACAGAACTTATAATCAGCTAGATTGAATAGATGAATATAGTGAAAGTAGTAATAGATATGGTTACATATCATACGTTTCATACAAAATTAAGTAATAATTAGATAAATTAAAAATTAAATTAACTTTTCACAAATGTCAGTCAAATTGTGTTATACTTATAATTATATTATATTTTTTATCAATACAAAATTAAATGTTAACAGTTTTATTTATATTTGATTAAATTGAAAATAAAGAATGGATCATAAAAGAATGATGGGAATAAAAACTTTTAGTGACAAAACAGGTACGTGTTTTGGTCTTTTCTATTTTGTATGTTTATTATTGTAGAACATGAAATTATATTTTATATTATTCTCATCTTCTAGGATTACCAAGAATTTAGTTGGAGAAATGAATTTAGTTTAGATGTTAAATTGCTATGGAATATTTTGTAGAAACATAAAGCTTTTTTATAAATTGTGTTTTAAACAAGAGATCAAGAATTTAATTTAATTTAATTTATTTGCTGTATTGTTTTTTTTTTTTTTTCTATTAATATATTAATTTTTTTATTTTTAGAATTTGAATACCTATCTTATTGTTGTCAATTAAAGATGTAATTGGGAAATTTCTAAGAAGAAATTTTTGTCATAGAAATTTTCAAAAGAAATTTAAAGTTGGTTGATACTGTAACTGTATTAAATGAAAGAAGAAAATCAAATAATTTTATTATAGTTAATGAAAGTCTTAACCAAGTAGATATGGCCATGATTGAACTTTAAAATGTTACTGAAAAGTGGTGATGATGAAGACATGTAGTTTTCATAGATGAAAATATTACGAAATGATTATAAAATCAAAGTGAAGATATTTTATCATCAGATTATGATTTCTAATAACACTTTTAAAATATTAACATTTTATAGCATTTAAATGTAATTTTTAAAGTTTTTTTTTTAATAATTCTTAAGTACTAGTATAAATTTATAATTTATATAATTATAAATAAATATATATTTGTGATAAAATTTATTTCAGTTAAATTTTTTAAGCTAAAATAAAATCATACAATTTGATAAATTAAAATTCTTAGTTATTTTTGGAATGATATGTTTATTTACTATATATATAATGTTATATTACATAATAACTTATATTTATTAACAGGTAATCAATTTAATTTGGCATTTGCAAACTACAATGTAATGTTTTACGACCTTACACCTTATTGATTATTAAGAAAAACTATATTAAAAAAAAAAAATAAATAAATAAAAATTTCTGGAATTTAACATTATTGTCGATAATTAGAAAATAGCACTAAGTATAAGCTTTAATTTAATGCACATTATATTAAAGATTATAATAATTATTAAAATATTTCCTATTATTTTTAACTGTTGCGCGTCGGTCGTACTAAAATTAGTAACCCGCACGATGATATAAAGACAAAAGAACGTTACAAATATATTATGGTTTAAGTTAAAAAGATTTCAAATATGTTATTAGAATTTAACATACTACTAGTTATTATAAAGCTATGCGAAATAAGTGCAATTAGCCATAACCATAAATAGGTAACTAATTATTGATAACAAAATAAATAAATAATATTTAAAAATCTTGTACAAATTTTAATACAGCTAATTATACTTATCTTTTAGAGTGGCCTCGGCGTAAATTCTTTGCTTGGTACATACTAAAAATTGATTACTCACCAATATATGATTATTTATTTCTGCTTCTTTACATTTGTCTTCGCAAGCTTATAGAAGAGAACAAGAGAATTTAGATTTTCTTAGTAAGCTACTTTTAGGTAAATTAGACTATCCTAATCTCTTTAGATACATTAATTTTATAATTCCATCTTTATCCTCTTGAAGTAACTATCCATTCTATGTTACCTACTATAAGTACCTAACACGAACTACGCTTTATATAATCTTTAACTACGCTGATAATGAGTTTCTTGTAAGGACGATGCGAATTACCAATACAGAACCAACTTTATCTTTATTATAAATTAAAAATATTATCTTTTGAATTTTTTACATATATTATTAATGTCTTAAACTAAATAATGTATATCTACCATTATACAATGGCATAATATGCCCATATAATAATTGTAATACAACCCCATCTGCAGGGCTATCGGCTTGTAATTTTTAATAAATAAATAATAAATTAATCGGAATAAACTTACATACATTATACTGGTTTTATCTCTAAACATATTTGTTTTTGATTTTATACATAGGTCATAGGTAATTCTGATTTCATTGGCAACGGGCACAGCATTTGCGCAGCTAACTGTGGACCTCTCCTCGTTTTGTCATATTGAATGTGACATGCACTATGTCGCCTCCTAGCGCTGTAACTTGATACATTCCATTCGTCATCGTAATAGAAGAAAATATTCGTCTACAGTAAAACATTTACACCAAAGTTTGTGTGCGGGTCCTTCAAATTTGAATTGCATATGTGGTCAGTGGCGTATTTATGGGGTGGGGGGGGAGAGGGTGTTGCGGGTCTCCCAAAAAGTATGTATAATACAGGGATGATCTCAAAAAAAAAATTGTAGGGAGGGGGGTGTATTTTTCAAAATTGCCGACTAAAGTTTTGACCCATTTTTTTGCTGTTTATGCGCTCCTCCATGGAAAATTTCTGGATCTATCCCTGTCACCCTCTCAAAATAAGTTTGTAAATACGCCACTGTATGTGGTATTGCTTTTACTCGAACGTTTCCAAACTTTAAACGTTTAGAAGAATTTTGACCATGTCTGATTCTGGTATGGTAGTTAAGAAATCACCGTGATAAAGAAATGTCCCGTCATCACTTATCTGCAGTTACCGAGCACTCTTAAAATCTGTGGGATAGTGGTCCGTGAGGTTCACATTAGGTGGTGCACAAATGATTTTTATTAGATACATGTTTTTGATAAGCTGGTAAAAAAAAATAATTGAGGAGTAAACTACTAAACTACTTAGATAGTTTTAATGGACTCTGCACTGATAGTGGTGTGTTATTGTTTTGACCATCGACGGTGATGCGATAGCACCGAGTGCACGACGCATGTTTAAAAATGGTCACTGTTGACCATATCATTGAATCGTCAATAGACACACTTGTTAGTACAAAAAGCTATAACAATTTTTTTTTCTTAATAAGCAATGTTCATATCAGATGATTTGTTTTTTTTTTTATCACGAACCTCATTATTTAATAAATGATTATCTAACGTTTTTTAAAAAATATTCATTTAAAATAATTTTAAGTAGGTACTTAATTCATAAAATTCGTTCAACATATTATTTTTAATTTTTTTGCTTTTATGTATGATAACATACATTTTTATTTTCATATTTCAAAACAAAACATTATTTAGTGTATTTTGATACCTATGTAATAATTTAACATCAGATTAGAAGGTATAGTTAATATGTTATAACTTAAATTTATTTAAAGTTTTGATGAGCCGATTGAAGTGGCACTTAGGGATATCCCGCCGCAAAATGCTTCTCACTTATCTAAAGTTTAAAAACTTAAAACTCATAAACTAGTTTTGAATTCGATTTTTACACATAGAATTATTCCGAACAATATTTTGCTTTGAAATTTAAAATTAGAAATATATGTTAATAGTTTTTATGTATCAAATTACTCACTCCACATAGATCTAAATCTAAAAATGTTAAATGAAAAATCCAAGCATTATTATAAAAGGTTTCACGACAGGCCAACTTATCATACAAATCCAGTAATTAAAAATTTAGTGTCTGCTACCATACTCGGAAATCCTTCAAGGCGACTAAAGCGTAAGTGGTGTTGAGATCTTTTGCATAATTAACATACGAATTTAAGCTCCTCAAATTAAAAGTGTCACCACTGGATGGCTTCTTTCATTAATATATATATTCATGTTTTTTTTTTTAACTCATAGCCTATAGTCTTAATGTGTCAACTGATACAGATTGTATACGTATTACTTAAAAAAAAGTTAATAGTTTTTAGAATAATGAAAATTTGTGTGGCTTATAATAATGATTAAAACTGAGTAATACGCGTAATAACTAGAGCGTGGATTTTTATGCAATTACATTTTTTTTCTTTTTAACTTATTTGGATTTTTATCAGTTATCTTCACGGATTATAATAATTTGAATTTAATGATGAATTTTTTTTTCACATATTTGCATATTAAAGCAAACATTTTTTATTAAGTATTTGAGTAATTAATTATTATAAGCTATTTACTTTGGGAATTTTAAATAAATATAGAAATTTTCTTACATAATATATTCGTTGCATATTTTCATGATTTTTACTGTATATTGTATGAGACATTTCGATAATTTTTAGTGCATAAAAATCCGTGCTATATTAATTACCAATCTTAATTTGCTATAGAAATCTAATAATTTTTTTTATGTATTTATCATTTGGGTACCTACTTAACGCGAGCCGTCCACTACAATATAGCCTATAGGAACAGAAGACAGCACGTGATTAGGCTTGAATTCAAACACGACCATCTTCTTATCTAAATTGTGTTCAATTCCTCGTGTGTGAGAGGCATTTTCCAGTGTCCTATACAAATAATCTTTAAATTACTTTACCGTTACCTGCTACAGCCCTACGAGTACGGACGTGCGGTAAGCTGGATACATTTTCATTTTACACAAACTACGACCATTCTATTACGCACTGATTTTGTTGTTGTATCCATTACGCGTGGTTATAATATATTAAATGACATAATATTTGGTACTTCTTTTAATTGGCTGTTCGCGCCAACGATATACCGGCACCTAAAACTGATACTATAATAATTAGATATATTGCAATAGATTATTATTCCGCAAAATATCAATGCAATTTAATCAACTACCTATTTATAGTGAGAAACTAGAGAATAATAATAGGCAAGCCTAACCTATTTATGACGTCGAAGTATTATAATATAGGCAACGCTATTAATGAACGGGCGTTGGTGCCGAAAGTTAAATTCCACAATATTAACACTGTCTGGGGCGCATAATGCTTAATCTGTACGATTATAATTGTAATAATGTTATAATGTATATTCTACGCACAAATGGAAATAAAAAAAAAATAAAAATGTAAATTTAAATAATTCAACTCTAACAGTCGACGAGGTGAAGTGAGAGAACGTTTTTAATTAAAAATTATAATTATAAGATGGGATTTTATATTATTTGAATTTCTTATATATACAATATTTGCGGTGAATAGAAAATATAAAGACGAGTGTTTGTGGCGAACGAAACGCAATTGTCTTTTGTCGTAATGAAAAATGTTTCTTGTTTGAAAAAAATATCAAGCTATATATTTTTTTTCTAGATTAAATTCTCAGCGAATATAATGTGCAGGGATTTTAAATTTAATTTGAGTATTTCACATTTCTCATTATTAGTCGGTCACGGCAACAACGCAAATACACAATTATTATTAGAAACAAAAAACAAATTAAACCGCTGATACAATAATAATAATAATAATAATAATATATAATATTAATATTATATCGCATAGACGTGTTGGCTACAAATATTCTCATGATACTTCCGCATTTATCTATATTATTTTTCTATTGTAAGTCTCGAAAAAAGTATTGAGACAAGATTAAGACATTAGTATTAAACACGCTGTACAAGATGATCCGTTTAAAGTTAGAGACCTATAAAGTGTTATTGAGTGTATCTCTCTGTATACTGTTTCCGTAGATTTTTTCACGATTTATTATTACTTACATTTTTTTTTTTTTTTTGGTCTAAGTCAAAAACAATCGATGTATTATAATGTTACATTAGACACCTACATGATTGATAACCATTAACACATGTCATAATTAGATAGGTACCTCTCTTGTCTTAATGGTCGGCTAGGTTCTAATCTCATTACCTGTACTTATAGTTACACATGTAACTATATAAGATAAAAGTTATTTTTCAATAACGTTACCATTTTTACAGGGGTGATGGAGCTAGGCTTTGCTGGATCCTATACATTACAACTTGATATGTTGCTGTACAGATGATCTACGTGTTAGATGCCCAAAAGTGAAGTTTGATTTAAATAAAATAATCTAGATAGGTAACAGATAATTTTAGGAAAAATTATTTATATAATACCTACTTGAATCATTTATAAATCAATTATAGATATATAGGTTTAAATCGATTACAAAATTAACTTTAAATTATTTAAAAATACAATTCGTCCATTGAAGAAAATAAAATAATTAAAAAATGTCTAATAAACATTGATATTTTATTATTAATTCATTATAATAGGCAGTTACATATTATATTACGTAATTATTACACTATAATCGTAGAAAAACACATTTTAGTACATTATAATACATTTTGGAAAAATGAAATTTTTACACTTAATTGTTTTCATAATAATATTATATTATAGAATATTAAAATATTTATATTCTTACACGTAAAATTCACAATATTTAAAATGTCCTTAAAAGCTTATCACTAAATAATAATATGACAATGTTTATAATTAATTAAAGAAAAATAAAATGTATAAAAGACTAAAAAAATATCGTAATTTTTAACATTTGCACAAAGATAGCAATTATTATTGTCTATTATTTTTACTATTATTTCTCATACGATGTATAATATTTATATGGAAAAAATCGTTTTTATAAAATACAAATAGTTACAAAGGATGCATATCAAAGAAATGATAATGAAACGCGTCTCATCGTTTAATAGTTTTTGAGTATTATTAAAAACATTAACGTTCACTTTGAATTATTAATTTTTTGTAACGTTCGTATATATATTACTATCATAACGATAGCAGACTCGTATTGCAAAAAAACATACAATTTATTGTTATTGTAATTTTAATGACGACGAAATGGTTTTTTTAGACTTGACCAATTATCATAATATAGTATTGTAACATTGGACATTGGTAAAGTCCTCATATTCCAAAAAATTCTTTTGTATAAAATTTTTTGAAAAAACACCATACTCACTGTTAAACAGTAATTTTTATATAATAGATATAGTAAAAAAAATATTTGCATATAAGTAATTATAAATATTATTATTAATAGAACGTCACCTTCTGCACAAATGTTGATGTCTCCATCTTACTAAAAAAAACATGGACAAGTTCGCATTCAACAGTTCCAGTTTTATGTAGTAAACTTTAATATTAAAGTGAATCTACTAATTAATAGACACATACACAGACAAGAATATTATTTTTTACGATATTTTAACTTTTAAGTTATAAGTAGGTAAGTTATTATAGAATGTAATATAGTACGATTTAAAAATTCTCATAACTCACTTGTAAGAAACCAATGGTTGACCGTAGTGAGTGGTCTTGCCTTTAAGTTTGATAATTAACTTAAACATTAAAGTCAACAAACATCAAATTGGAACTGCTGAACGCAAATTTGATAATATATTGTCTCCGCCTCACAAACCGTGCGTGTACATGGTAAAATAATTACGTTCAGCAGTTTTCATATTTTAGCTTCGTTAATTTTGATATCAAAGAATATTTATCTATATCCTATTATTAAATTTATATTACAATATAAAACCTAACAACAAGGAAGCGAATTGCGAGCATTTTAAAATTGTAATAGCTGAACGCTTATTACTCACTATAGTCACTTGGAAATTAAAATACATTTAACATCAAAATAATATTTCCAACAAAACAATGTTTTTAACTTTCCGTTCTATAATAATGGGTAAATAATTCGTTCTAACATCAAATTCAACTACACAAATTTGGCATTTCTTAACGAAAATTTGATAATATGATGTTGTACGTTAAGTAAGACGGCGGATATACAACACATGCGGGTGTGACGTCCTCTTAGGTTCAATCATAAGCATAAAACAAACAGTCACTGCAGTTCTGTAAGTTAATAATATTTCTTTTTTAGATTTTTTCTTTTTTTGTGGAAAGATTATTATTTTATTAGCAACCTTTTCGATTTACACTGACTGCGCAGTCTACTGGTAATTTATTAGAGGGTTTTATACTGAGTAGATATTTTTCCAAGTTTAAAGTCGGACGTAAAATACTATTCAATAATCATCGTTCATAATCATAACTATTGATTTTGTATGAGTATAATAAAGAAAATCACCTATTCAAATAGTTATATAAGAAAACTAACTTAAAAATTATAATTTTGAAGAGGCTAAGTTCACGTAAGCTTTGTAGAGAAGGGGCTTTGGTGAGTATTATCGATAGTAAAAATAAAATATTACAATCGTGAAACTCTGTGGCGTATATGACGCGAGTTCCTACGTATTTATAAATATATATTATTATCCATATGTAATAGGATAATATATGGCTGAAGTAGGTGTTTTTAAAAATTATTTTTACGCTACATGATTTGAAATAAATTTATGTTTTCACATGTGGCCCGAATTGATTCGTAGTAGTTGATTCGACTATTGCCTAATGGGCGTCGGCCGACTGCGATATGTTATTGTTATTACTGATCGTGACTGCAGTGGCGGTGGTTGTAGCGGATGAGTCCTAAGAGGCAGCGGTCGGGCTTCGAGGGGCTGCTGCAGTAACGGTCGTGTCGTATTCTTCTTTCCACGGGTCAAGAGACATTTTTATTAAACTGTCGCAGCTAACTCTGTTGTTTCCGAATTTCCGGTTGCTGTGCATCACGTGCAGTTGAATGGATTCGATTTCGTCGGAATTGTCGCAAATTATTGTAGCGAACGTGGTTTTCCGGATCTCTGACAATTGATCTGTTCACATATATACATAACACACACACATTAATATGTTATTATAATATTATATTTCATATTTTCCATTTTTTATTAGTCGAATTTATAAAATAATGTAGCCTGTAGGTACTGATTGGATACAAAAATGTAATGCGATAGGCAAGAATTGCGTGCATATAATTATGTTATGTATTTACTTTCTACTATTATGCCGCTGTTTGCGATACATACGGACTTAGTGTGGTCGAGCGTTGAAATTATATATAATATATGTATGGGCAGAATAAACTTTGTACATAACTTGAATATAAGCCTTTCAATTAGGTATGTAAAAACATTGTTTTTGAAAAACTTGAACATTCAACTAAGGAAATTTAAAAATGAGAATAGTCTCACTTTATTATATTTACGTATAACTTCGTAATAAGTCCGTATAATATTTACTTATAAATTATTCTACAAGTAACTAAATTTTTACCAAAATATTTTTTTTTTACCATACTGATGGTTTTTGACTTTTATAATCTAGATTATAATAAGTACTTTTCTTAATATTTTGAGGAAATTCATAAACACATTTTTAAACACAGTCTAAAAATAATAAAATTAAAAGGTTATCATAACACAAATATGTAGTATTTAATATACTTAAAGCTTATTTTGAGAACCGTAATAACTGATTTGAAAATTAGCATAGCTGATTAGGTAAATAATTTCAAAAATTATTGTTAGAGCAGGGAATTAGAAAATTAAAAAAATATTAAGAAAACGGTGCATAAAAAAAATTAATAATTAATCCCCTATGAACATTTAAAATAATACATTTAAAAAAATGAATATTATTAATTTATTATATTATTAAATAATAAAATTAACTGAAAAATAAAAAATTAATATTTGGTATAGGTACATTATAAAAATATATTATTTTATTTATCTAGTGTAATAATTTGGTGTTGTGACTTGATGGTGTTCAATTAGGTTTATTCGTGTCCAGTGTTCATGCGAGTATAGGCATCCAGGAATTTTAAATGCAAGGTTAGATACATTTTGATTTGTAATTGTTTGCACTGATAGCTTAGAATATTATTTAGTATTTACATTATACGAAATTTCTATAAACTTGAAACAGCATTTTTTTAAATTTGAACGCATATATAAAATGCCTTAAATACCATCAAAATGCTAATAAAAATGAAAAAAATGCTATAAAATGCTAAATTAATATATGCAGCGGTATATGATATCTATTCAAAAAGACATAAAAATGATTTTTACCAGTAGATAAAATGCTAAGTACTTTGAAAACTCGTCCCTAATTATGATTTATACATCAGAGTAGTGTGTGTGGTACGAGCGGGAGAGATACGAAAAGGTTGGTCAGTTACAGTGATCATTAGAAATGAAGAAGTGTGGCTCGTTGTTTATTCGAATTGAGTACTTTAATATATCAATATCGCAGTACGTGTTTTATTTACCTTGGTTGAACGCCTGTGGTTTCTCGTTAGTCTCATACCAATAACGATCACCCGATTTCACCCGCAAGAATTGATCGGCCAACAGGCATGTGATCGTCGGCCCCAAGATGCTTCCTTCCAGCGGCTTTTCCGAAAGCAGCCCGGTATACAAGTCTAAGTCGTCGATCGACCTGTGTCATAGTTTAATATAATTAGGAACACATCTTGTAAAATTAATTTAATTTTTTACATGATAATATTAACACAGTTAAAACTAATAATGTATTAGTTGATGTGAAATATCATCTCTGATTTTACGTAACTTATAAATAACAACAATGATAATGGTACGCATAAGTAATTCGAAATAAAGGAACTACTGTACTGTCACGATGTCTACCAATTTTTTTTGTTGCGGAAACCATATAGTTAACACGTTACCATATAATATTATATAATATTCAATTACTCTAGCGTTTAGTTAGATGGTTATTAATGGCTAGTGAAATCGTTTTATCTGAATAGTATTATTTGATTTGGCGAATAACAAGAAAACGCTAAACGCGAACCACACGGCGATGGCGATAGTGTAATAATATAATTATACTATTTCTAAAACAAGACAAAATATACTATTATCTAGATTGAGCAGATAACCGCGATACCGAGTAGACCTATGTAATCGGTTGACTCAGTATTTACCAGTAGAAACGTGAATTTATAACCATACATATTCATAACTGCAGCAACCTTTATTCAAAACATCTCATACGCGGAGCAAAAAGGTATCCAATAATTAAAATTGAAAATTCTCTTGGAATAAGGGTGGGGGCCGGATTTCATACTAGATACTTCTTTCTGCCTTCCTCGGCAATGTGCATTATTGCTTATAACGTATTCGATACACGCGATGTCAGTGAAAAATAATCATCCTGCATACGATTTTTTTCTATTTTATTTAATTTCGTTTCGACTGTAATATTAAATAATAATATAGGTATAGTTGTAAATAACAACTATGACGGTGCGTCTTTTTGAATAAGTATTAGGGATAAGCTAGTAAGTATATGTATACGTATAATAATGTGTACACAATTACACGTGGCTAGAGCGTTGGTAAATATAAGAAAACTCGACTGCAAGTCGTAGCAAACTTTAATGAATTCCATTTTATCCCTTTCCAGATTGCTTGTCGAGTATTAATGCGACGTTCGCCGAGAGTTTAGAGTTTACAAACTTAAAATATATTTCAATCGAAAACTTTGTACTGTATACCACACGAACGACTCTGACATGACGAAATACTTAAATACATAATTGATATTGTAATTATAGTAAAATTGCTGTAGTATACCTATCCAAAAATATTTACTGCCAATTTAAAAGCGTATAGTCTAAAATTAGAGTATTAATAAACTAGTCCATTTCACTGGTTCAGAGACATTATGAACAATGTTTTTTTTATTTTAACTTACGAACAAATATTAGTGTCACAAGATTTTTTTTATGTTCAACGACAATGTTTTTAACTTTTTTACAGTGAGACGCCATCTGGAATGAAACTAGAATGTTTGATAATAAGTCTAAAATCCGGGTCTGTCAAATTAATTAAGATAATTGTATTAGGTATATATTTCACAGGCACCTTTATTTATTAAATAATAAATCTATAGTAATAATAATTATAATTATATATTTTATTTGTTTTCATTATCAAGCCATAATTATCACTGAAAAGTTATATTTTTAACATTTTGTTCTATTCGTAATGGTAATAATGAAATAATGTTACAATATATTATTTTAGCTGAGAATTTTTTGAGGGGACAGGACGATGATAGTATATACATTAGGTATGTTTTGGTATGCTGATTCCTTGAGTAGGTATATTATAATATTGCATACTTTCAAATCAATCTTCATACAAAATATAATTATATTTTAATATATGGTTTCATATTACGTAATTAAATATGTCTACAGAACATGAAAAACATTTTTAAATTTTCTTAAAATATCAGGAAGAGCTGCTACCTTCACAAAAATTTGGCTATATCACTTTTTAATGATACTGCTTACACTTGGTGATTTATTTAACATATGACAGTCATTATAATAAAAAACTATAAGATTTTTTAAAAATTATTTTAAGTTATCGTTAAAAATCAATATTTTTTTTTTAACAAAAAATAAGTATTCAAAGTTTAGAAGAGTGGATAGGAATAACAGCAAGGGCACTCCGCAAAATGTTAATTCACAATTTTACCAATCAAAGCTTTAAATAATTATTATAATAAAATATTCGTCCAAAATTTGATTTTTATAGATCAAATTATTTTTAATAATATTTTATTGAAATATTAAAAATTTGTGTTGTCATTCAAGAGATTGAAACATAAAAAAATTATAATGAAAAAAAAAATAGTAAAAATTATTATTCTGTTTCAAAAATATTGTTTTGCAACAACTTAAATTTTTGCTAAAAAACTATTTTTAAAAACGTTATCAGTGTTTTATTAAATAATTAATGCCCTGCATCATCGAAATAAAGTGTATGTAGTTTTAATGTTTTTCGACTTAAATCTGTCTACACAGTCATACAACGTAGTTATTTTTGACAAAATTATTGCACCGGATCAAGGATCTTTATTAAATGTTTGTATGTCGAGGTCCTAATTGATATTAATATTAATATTGTATACACACTTGTACAATTTTGATATTCTTTGCAATGTTGCCGGTTCAACATGTCCTTCTAAATCGCTGAAATTCCGTGGTTTTGAAAACCCACATGTTTTACGCCAATGTGGGTACGCCGGAAGTCCGTGATCTCGGCCTCTTTGTATGTTCAGTGCGACCAAATCCAATCCGCACTGTCTTCCGGCGGGTCTCGATTCGTCGTTTTTCTCGAACAGATGTCTAGTGACCTGTGTAAAAAAAAAAAAAAAAACAACAAAAAACTGGTTAGATGCTCATCGTAAAAACTATAATGATAATATAATATTTTCTATATGATGAAATAGATGAATATTGATTTTTAAAAATATATTTTAGCATTCCCGCGACTTTCGTGCTTGGTAATAATAAAATTATTGACAACGATCGTATTTTATGATAAAAATTTTTTCGTATTTTATTTTTTATTTCGATAATTATAATTAGTAAGGCTCGGAAGTTAAAGGAGCTAAAAAAGGCAAAATACGTATAAAAAAATTACAAAATATGCAAAAAAATAATTAGTGCCATCATGGTACGATATTAAATTAATTTAATCAATGTATTGTAGTTGTCGTAATAACAATATTTTATACAGAGTGATTTTTCAAGTACTCACCCCTATACTTTTTCTTTAAATAATGCATTTATTCGAATTCTGATTTTTGGAAATTTAAAAAAAAATGTCTGAATATAAACGATTTACCTACTTAATAATTTAATATAAAATAGATTGAAGTAAACAAAAAATTCTAAAAGCAAACTTTAATATAATTATTATCTAATTAATTACAATATACCTTACAGCGGTGATATTATAGCCGAACTTTATTCTACATAGAATAATTTTACTGTTATTATTATAAAATAATATCGTTCGCTTACAAGAAGATTCAACAGCTATTATGTACATAATACTTTAATAGAAATAATAACTAATATGTATGTATATACATCGAATGCCTTCAATAAAACATTAATTAATTATTTGTACTAACTGTTGTTAAATCACGTCGTGTGTCTTTTAAGAGTTTGTGGCTACTAAAATACCTATCAAAGTAATTGGTAAGTAGTGTTCTCAAGTATAGATCTCGATTGGAGTTGTTGTTAAGTTTTGACAACATCCGTCTGTTATTATTTTTTGATGATGTTTCGGCATCATACCGTGTATATACAGTCGGACAGACAATCTCTTGAAACAATCCTATGTGCTTAGATATAATAAATAGGTACTAAAACCTTTAAACCCCGAATACACATATACCTACTTGTAATAAAATGTTCACTATGGTGTATTGCATTATATTATTTGTGATTTCTAAAATTATCAATAACGTACATTTTTAATGATGTACGGTCAATGTTTATGTAGTCGTTGTCATTCCCAATTATTCGTATAATAATATTATACCAATTACCAACGCTGTGAATTTTCAGTTATTTATCACGTGTAAGACATAAACCGAAATAAATAAGATTTTTATTTTTTGTAAATAAATCAAAATAGTTCATTTAATTTTGTTTTCAAAATTAAAGTTTGATAAAATCCATTTAAAATTTTGATTTTTGGGATTTATAGAACACTAGTTTCCTTGCTCGTATTAAACGCATCCATGTTTAATTTGATTGCTTAATATTATCATTTAGGGTAACGCGGGTAATAAATAAAATTTTTAGTTTTATTTTTTTTATACACCAGTATAGATGATATTTCCGACATACAAATCTTACGTAGCTGTTCTACTTAATGTTGTTTTATAACCCAAATTTTCTTTTTATTTTAGTCCAAAAAAAAAAAAAAAAACAGCTCATAAAATCTACGAGTAATAGTGTGAACCAAAAACAATGAAAAAGTTTTGTACTGTTATACTAAATCAATTATTCATTAAAACACTAATTTTTAGTAATAATTAATAATTGGTAATACCAACAAAAAATATATTTATGTGTGTATTTGGTAATTATTTAAAAAAAATTAATTACTCAATTTTTTATGTACTTATAAAAATATGCTACGCAATGCACTCTTTCATTAAAAAAAAATCAAGATAATCAGATAAATAGTTTCAAAGAATATGCATGTAAAGATATATATTTTTACATTTCTATAAATGGATTTTAAATTATTATTTGGTGCACTTTTCCGTATTCATCTAGTGTATTAAATGCACAGCCTTAAAAGTTTCTATCTTACTTCGGGTGTGAAAAATGCGTCAGATTTCCCAGCGCTTGTGTTCATCGCTCCACGAATGACACTATCTACACCGCCACACGTGTACAATCTGTACGGGTTGAACAGCATTTTCCTCATTTCGACGAATTCGGGATTGCTATTGTTGTCCTTAAGAAACTTCATCATACTCTGGAAAAATAAACCAATTTTATTGATCATTCATAAAAGGTAAATAATGGTTTACGTGCGCACACGTGTATGTGTTTTTGGTGGTGGGGGGATGGTAGGGTAACGCGTATACTTTGAAAATTAGTTATTTTAATTTTTACCAAGGCAACATAAAGTTTTCTTGATTTTAATTAACGCAAGTTTACAATTCATTATTAAGTTATAAGTATATTGTATGTATTTGCGTTATTGTTATATCGCAATTATTTTTCCGAGTACTTCGTTCACTATTGCAGAGAGTGATTAATATTAGATACCTATTGATTTGAAATTACACTGTTTTGTTATTCTATATAATACAAAATCAATATTACCTAGGCGTAAAATTTATCAATATATACATAATATACATAAAATTTATTATAAGCAATTATTAATTATCTGATACAAATACAAATATTATTATAAATTATAATACAAACATACTTATATAATATATATACATATACACGCATATATGTAACATAACGTACTAGACGATTTTATAGAACATCAACTAATTTCTAATCAAAATATTACCTTTATAATATTTATAGCGTATCAAATTCTGTGTAATATTTTATCGGATTTGATTATCTAAACTATTTTACCAGCAACCATGGCTATATTCCCATAATTTTTCGAAAATGAAGTCATAAATTCAACAAACTACACTAAAATTTGTTTTAATAGCTTTAACAGTTAATAAAGTAACGATACACGGAAATACTGTATCTACGAACTGGGTTTTATGGGACATAAAATTATTAATAATTATGATGCATATATAATATAGTATTCGATAATTTTGATTGATTTAAACTGAAATGATTATTTTCAAAAAGCGACTAAAACATTTTAGTGAAAACATTATTAGTTGACGTTAATTAAATGTTGTATAAAGGTAAGTCCATTATTAACTTTTATCAGTAAATTAAGTTTTTTACGAATTTCTGACCTACATACTTTAAAGTTATTTGTTATTACCATTTTTAGAAATTTAGATAAATATTAATTCATTGAAATTTATTGAAGTTGTATTAAATTTAAATATTATATGCATTGTTTTAAGTAAACCTATACAGATTTTTTTATATAGAACGATGTGTTATAAATGCTTCGCAATGCATTATCATAAAACTATGTTGTACACTCTGAGCACACTCCGTTCATTTATTACAATGTTTGTAAGACGGCGTGTCGTATAGGCAAAATAGGTACACTGTTGTGACGAAGAACAAAATAAATTGATAATTTTCAATATAATACTATAGTTATGTTCGGCACTATGCCAACTACTGTTGTACTAATCTATTGGCGTATCCACTTCACCGGAAATTTATTTGATCTATAATATAGTTGTAATGTGTATATTAATATACTAAACAGGATAAAAATTGTCAATATTATAAATTATTTAAAATGAATAGAAAACCGGTAAAAGTTTTAAAAAAACCTCAAAAATAATAACTACCTATTAATTATTATTTTACGGTCCATTTATCACATCGATATAAATTATAATACTAATAATGGCTAATACAACGAAAATTAATTTTCGATTATGTAAAATATAAACAAAGGTTGGAAATATTTTATTATAATATATTTTATGCAATTTAAACGTTTGAAACAATACAGTATTAACAAAATGTGAGACACAATAAAGAACAAAACACATTTTCGACAAGAATTATTGAGGTATACTCATGTATTATACTTAAAATATATAGTTTGGAGATAAACTTAACATTTTGTTTTTCGTAGGGAAATCTGTATTTAAAAAAAAATTATAGTACTTGATGGTCGTGTTATTGATTACATTCGATTTGTAGACGTAGTCAATACCAAATTTTCGTATAAAAATAATTAACTTTAATAAAGAAAAGGCTAGTCGAAAGAGAAGTTAGAACGTCAATTTATAAAAAAATATGTGATAATAAATGCAATAAATTTAACCTTTAAAGTTTCTAAAATTAATTTGTGAAAAATTTTAACTTTGCTCAGAAATAATAAATAATTGTATAAATATTGTAAACAATTATGAATCACTCTATTTATATAATGCATTTATATCTACATTCTACTTTTTATATCTGAAATTCTCAACTTTCTTCCTAACTATATTCTCAAATATCGTATCTCTTTTGGGATCTAATTTAATTATTTTACGGTATACATTTTTAATAAATTGTTTTCAAAACATTTTCTAATTTTTACAATAGCACTTAGAGTTCAAAAATTCACTTGGTGTACTAAGTGTTACATAGCTATATTCTAAATACCACTTATTATACCGGATTAGTAAAATGCAAGAAACAGATTTTCGGCTCAGCTCACCATGATAATTCAAGAACATTCTCAAATACGTTATTACGAAAAACCCCGAAATATCGTGTATGTACACGTCATACATTTATCGGATTTTGTTTCGCCGCAGGATAGATGTGGTTTACATAATATAATAATGATAGGATACACAGGTATTTACAGTAAATAACGCATACCCGGTGTATGGTAATAATAATAATAATAATATAATGTACTCTTCTAGTTATTTGGGGTATTCTTTTCTGCTATTGTTATTATTAGTCGGTTAACCGTACGTGTTATGTATATCGAAACGAGGCCATCCGCAAATCAATATCCGGATGTAGTTTCTTTGGTGTTTTACAATGGTTATTATCATATTATCATAATATTACAAAGGCACGAAAATTGAATATAATAATAATATATTATAATACATGTTATTATACATATTAAATATATGATTTTACCGAGCAAACAGTTGGTGGCTCGCGAGTGATTGTGTCGTATGGATCTCAAAGAACAATATAATATTGGTTTATTTTAACATAATGTTATTATTACCATTGCTATTATTATATTATATTGTATTTCATCTCGAAAGCGTTTAAACGAAATTAGAATTGAAAATATATTCAAATAAAAACCCGAGTAATCCCGCAGCCATAATCGGCCAACGTTGGATGATGGTGATACAGACGAGGGGACGCGGATCGTTGTCGGATTGTTTTGAGTGCCTATATACTAGTAGGTAAGAGTATATATATTATATAATACATACACGCACACTTACAAAATATGCGCTTAATATGATATCAAATTGTTTTCGGATTAAATGCAGCTTTTGCGAAATTACTTATTTGAATTTAATTTTAGGTAAATGGATACTAAAAACGATATATAATACATATATATTTATTTATATATTATATAAACGTATATTTTTACTGTAATTATACGCACATATCACATTATATATAATATTAACAATGTATGATTTCAGTTTGTAACGAATAATGTTCGGTGGTATATCAATTATTATGTATCTTATATCTACAATAGTGTAATGTATATAGTGACTATTAAGTTTTTATGTAACAGTAGCTCAAAGATAATTAAAATGTTTAAATTTAACGTTAAATTTCTCAGTTTTCATTTATGAAAATTATAACTGAATGACATTTTATTTTGATATTTTATATTGTTACGTGATATTTTTAATAGTGGCAATGATTTACCGGTATTAAAGTGTGAGCGAATCGGAAGGCCGCGGTAGCAAAGTTGTTGCTGATGGTTGCATCCATTGAAGAATTGTATCCGTTCCAATGACCTGTTTGTTGAGAGTATAAGTCCAAGCGTTTCATGAGATTATCACCTGAAATAAAATATTATAAAATCGATCAATTATATTATTAACGAAAACACTATTTCGATTAAATGGTTTATTATTATTACAGTGATTTACGATTTTTCAAGTATAAATAATGATTAAAACCAACTTACTAGTCTTGATTTAATATGAGATACTGGAATTGTATTCCCATTTTAAGCGTTACGTTTTGCGGTAATAATACACCTATTATACACTGTAGAATATAAACTATATGTATGCAATATACTCTACTAAAATAAGCGAATAATAAATGATTTTAATAAAACGGGCTCGCGTATTTTATTTTTAAAGTTATTAGATCATTTTATGAGAACAGTTCAAGTACCTAACATAAAAAAAAAAAATATTTGTTTTCATTTAAATGCAGTATACCAGTAAATCGTTTTATGTATATTTTTCAGTCAAAGTATAATATAGTTGATACATTGACTTGTTGAACAGTACGGATAGTAAACTTTTTATTTTCAAAGTTTTTTTTCACCATGTTTAATTGTAACTTAAAATAAGTGGAATCAGACATGCTATTTTAACTTGACGTAGGTTATCCAATTACATAACTCGTTCATGCGCAATAAGTGTAAAAACTTTAAAATAAACGAGCCATGTTTCTTTTCAGAATAGTTTTCATATAGCCTATACGTATATATAGATAATAATTATCTATATTATATATTATATTTAGGTTACACGTTTTTAGAAAGTTTTTAAAAGTTCATTTTAACCTAAAATAATGACAATTTAATTTATCTAAGTGTTTTTTATGTCACTTTTTTTTTTTTTTTTTTTGAAATGGAATATCACTAAAATTATAAAATTATTACGGTGAGAAAAAATTTAAGCAATTTTGACATTTAGCAAAATTTAAAAAACACATATTTTAATTGAAAATATTTATGTGTAATTTGCTTTTTATTAACACATACACTTGTTTATTTTAATAATTCATGTGTTAACTATTTAAATGTCATAGCACAAATTTATTTTAACAATGAATAAATTATTTACTAACTTGGATACTTTTCAATCTAATTTCAAATTAGTATTTAATTTGAAACTATTTAAGAATCTGAGCTGAAGGAATGATGCGGTTTTTTTTTTTGGACGAGTTCACGATGAGTTGTCAAAAAAAAAATGCCTTGATTTTCAAAAATAGGTGTGGTTATTGATATAAAATTGAATCTAGTTTATGTTTCAGAGAAGTTCGACTTAAAAATTCTTAATATTTATTTTCATTTTCTTTTTTTAACTTTTTATTTATTAGTACATATTATAATCTATAAATATTTTTTTATAACTTATTTTCATAATCATAAAAAACGGAATTTTTTACGCAAATTCTGATTTTGATAAAATGTGGAACACAATTTTTTTATGGAACTTGAAAACAATTTAACATAAAAAATTAAAATTTTCACAAAATATTTAAATTAATTTTTTATATTTACGGAAAAATTTTCAAAATATTTGACTGTTTTTAAGTTATTTATAAGTAAAGCAAATATTTGTTTTTTGTTTTTGTTTTTTTTTTTTAAATGTTGATTATACATTATTTGCTTGGTAGACATGCTTAAAAATTTAATATAAAACTTCTTTTAATTTATCAATTTTTCAATTAACAGTAATCATAGTATTTTTTATAAAGTTTAAAGTTAGAATTTTGACAAAATTGTTTAAATTCACGAAAATTAGTAGAATATATTTTAATTAAACATTTATGAGCACTTTTTTTTAATATATAAGATTTAAAAATTGAATATAAGGTTCTTTATAAGTATTACAACCTTAAAAAAAAAAAAAAAAAATTCTACTGGAAAGCCAAACTAATTATTTTTGAGCATTTATAGTACAAATTTGTCTGTAAAATAATTTTTCTCCTCAATACATTTTTGATATTGTATTGTATTTCAAAATAAAGAACAATGGATACTTGAATTTTTCACTAAATGTTTATATTATCATTTTTATTAAAGAAAAAAAATATTTTCAACAATATAGTTTTTTAGTTATTTATATAATGACAGATTTTTAATTTTTTTTTGTGGTTTTTTTTTTATAACTATTCTATATAAAAAATCATTGTTGGGTCAAAATGTTCAGAGTAGAAAAAATAAAATTATTGTTGGGATATTGATAATATGCATATCTATGGATTGTTTATTTTTTTTTACTAACCTTTTGGGAGAAAAAAGTAATAACTTTAATGATTATAAAACGTTGTGATAATATTTTATTTGACAAGGAAACTACTCCTAAAATATATCATAATTTATATTAATTACGTTACAAATTGAAAGGAAGAATGTTACCGGTATTTTGAGGAATTTTTATTCCTTAATTTCTTCTATTATTTTTATATTCAAAAGTACCATAGAGACGAGAGAAATATTATGAGATCAAGTTTTTAAGTTACTAAGTGAATTAGCAACATCACGATAGCAATTACATAAAATGTATAATAATATATCTAAAAATAGCATAATGTTTTATTTTAACGCTAAATGTAGCAATAAGTTATACGTACTTACCAAGCAATACTGGTAGAAATTCGTTATAGGTGATGTGTTGAATCTGAGCGGTAACTATGTGTCTGGTTTCTTGAAAAATATGTTCGTCATCCCAGTGTGGATTTAGAGACGACAATCGATCGGCAATCATGTTGTGTTGGCGTACCATGATTAAATGGAGCGTTGTCAAGTGCATGTTTTCATTCGATCTGGCATCTCCTGTGTTGAAAACAAAAAAAATATTTGTTATACTAATTTATTAATATTTCTTTTTTTTGCAAAAATCATATTATAAACACAAACATAATTTAAATTATATATTAAAAAAAAATCCACAGGTAAAATTCATATTTTTTACTCGTATAATTTGTTCATAACTAACAGAAGGTATTCAAAAATACATATTTTCATTTATCAGGGGGAAAATCCAACTCCCTTTACCAAAAAAAGGCGTAACTTAAGTTTATAACTATTTATAAAATACACACTTTTCGTGTATTTAAAGTTTGTATGTGTTAATACATAAAAATTTAGCATCATCCCTCTCCCAAAGTCGTGTTAAATCACGACAGCTACTATAGAATCATATAAAGTTCTGTAGTGTCTCTCGCGAGGATTTACTAATTTAAAGCTTTGAAGGGATGATGTAAAATCCATTACCCTTATATTATAAATAAATAAACATTGGTGGGACACTATATTATATTGTTGTCGTTTGTTTAGTATATCATATTTTATAAGCTTAACATTTATTAATATAATATATGTTTACAGCTTTCTGCACAGTGCTTAAAACGTAAAATTTTAGTAGTGATATTTAAACATCAGAAAACAGCTCGTGATCGAACTCCGGTGTGTTGGCGCCTAGATCTTTTGTGTAGTATAATACATTTTAGAAAGTACCTAATAAATTAAGTGACTAGGTATGTGTATAAACTTATTCAAATAATTGAATCTTTATACAAAGATTTCACATGAAAAACGATAATAGTAGGTAATGTACATTTTAGATTTTAAGCAGACTGATGAATGTATTTGTTTTACAATGTATGTGTACGTGTGTGTGGTTTTTCACTTGTCTGTCCATCACTTTTTGAAGCATTAAAAATGTTTAGAATTTGATAGACTGTTTTCATTTAAATTTTTTTTTTGTATGCGAAGATTTATCATTGAATTCAAATTGAACTCTACTGTTATAACAGTGATCTATTCAATGACGATGTACATTCAATATATATTGTACAGCAGAGCGGTTATCTAGTAGGTATGTACATATTATTATTTATTATATAATGAGGTACATCGGAAACTTACCGGACAAAAAACAGTAGCGGCCTTTTTTCATTTCCGATTCTTCATTACACCCGTCCAACGGATCTTTATTGGGCGGCAATAGCTGTTCACCGTGTTCGGTTACAAATACTTTCATACGTCCGCCGGTCCATGATCTTAGGTCATTTTGAAGTTTGCGTGTGTTACCGTACACAGACGAACCATCTAAATACGAGCTTGCTTGGTTCAACTGTTCCCTGGGCCCTAAAGTAAAATTACTTGAATATTACAAATATTTTACAATTGACCGGATAATAAATATAATAATGACTGCGTTTGATGAAACAATCAAGTTGCAATCACTGCGGCATTGATATTTAAAATATATAGTAATTTGCCGAACATACTCACGCCCGTTTTTTAAATTAAAAATTAATGTGCGTATGCGGCGATACAAATTTTTGTTTTTCTAATGAGAACTCCATTTTTTTATCATAAATTAATTAGTTGATTATTTATTTTTTTAAATTATGTTGTATATCTAATTAAAATAGTGTTAAAAATTAGTCTCTAAGTTATTGAAATACTTATTCTAAAGATAAAATTTTCGATCTAGTATTTATTATGAATGTTGACAGATACATATTAATCACTGATATTTTCAAATCATCATAACCCCTAAAGCTCCATATCTCTTAATTTATTATCATAAACCTATTATCCTTAGTAAAACAAAGTCACTAACTCTATAACTACTAGTTCAAGTTTTGATTCTTATAGGAAAAATGTCTAAAAGAAAATATTTGCTAAATATTTTACGGTAGTAAGGGTTCTTATTCGAAAAATAGAAGTTTATATTTTCACAGGTTAATGTTCCTTAATAATGTAAAAATCTTAAGAATTTAAAAATAAACTCGTAGTTTTAAAATACATCTAAAAAAGAAATCAGACTGCATTATTGAAAGAAAAAAAGATAATATTTAGTGAATCTTTATATAATATCAGGATATGATTTGCGGAAACCTTTTTGTATTGATTAAAAGCAAAACGAAAACTACAAAAACTCGCTATCGGCGTACATTATTATCTAAATATTTTATGTTCTTGGAAGATTATTGAGAACATTTTTGATTTTCGTCAATGTGTAGGTTCAACTTTCAGAATGCATTTATATTTCGTACTGATATTTTTTGAGACAACTTCACTGTTTACACTATACCAACTTAATATTATAAAATGGTGTAAAATGTTATGGTTATTATCGCTAAGAATATGCAAGACGTGCTTCTTAAAAATCGACGTGAAAAAATAATGTTTTTTTTTTCGTTTTGATGATGCTTTTAAAAAACCACTATACGCTCTTAACGTTCTACCAATTTTTTTTTTTACAAAATGTATATACGCTTTTATTGTGTATCATTATTGTCACTGTAAGTGTGGAGGTTGGGCGTTTTAAGAATCATGGTGAACAAATTTACCGAAACCACAAGTAGATGCCGGTGAAGATCGCACAAACTCCATGCATTTTCCGCACTCATTTTTATCTTCGTGTACGATTACTGGAAAACATTCAGGATGTGTAACGTTTTCATTAACCGAACTGCAGCATGAAATAGCGTTTCCATTGTGCCCTGTAAACCATAAAATGTTTACTAATAAAATATAATATTATGAATATCAACATCATGTTTATGTTCGGAGTATATTCTAAAATCATAGCATTTTAAATTAATTTGCTCAATAGATTTGTTAATTTAAAATAGATATAGAAAACATTTGTTTAATTTTGGTTAATTTTTTTCATTTAGAAGGCAGACAGATAAGGATAGAAAGAATTATATTCTATTAACTACAAACCAATGTTTTTTATATATTGTTAACTAATTTACAGATCAATTATAACATTGTAAAAAATAAAAAATATATTTAAACAACATGAGAATATTATTGTTGATTGCTAAATTAAATGATACTTTTTCATGTAAGCTTTGGTGATTTTATAAACTAAGTAACTAAAACTCAGATGTTCCATGAAATGTTTAAATGCTGTAAAAGTGTAACCTTGTAATTTTAAGGGTTATCCTAATAATATATATTTTTTTAAACAATTTATTATATTCGTTAAACAATAACTTTAATTGATAAATAATATTAGATACAATGATCATAAGAGATCCTCTCAGTGGTCTAAATTTTTTTTAAAGGAAATTTATGTTTTTTATTACTAGCGTATAATTTTTATTTTCTGAAAGTGTATGGTTCAGCTAAAAGTATAATTTTGCAAAGAAAAATTGTTTGATCGTATTCACTAAGAAGTTTTCAAAAATATGTGTATTATAGGTTGGATTGTATCGATTATGCGACGCGTTCTGCAAAAACTTAACACCGACATATTATTTTTTAAGTGTTCATAATAAACCTGATTTAAATAGCTCGAATTTATTTCTAATCATTATTAATCGCGTTAATTCGTTTCATTAAAATTATTATCTCTGCAATTTATGAATAATTTATAAAATAAGAAAAACGTATTTTAAACTAGTCGATGTTTTAAATTACCAAAATTTCATAATTTTAAATAATTTATATTTTGTCATAATACTATTCTGCTATTTTTTTTATATTGTATGATTCAAGTTACTTTAATAGTGATAAAATTTTTATAGATTTAATTGTCAAAGATTGTTCAATCTAATAAGAACTGAATAAAAGTTGATATAATTTAAGGAAAACAAATTAATTAGGTAACTATAATGAATAATTGATCAATTATAATACCAAATTATGAAATTTGATAATTACTGATATTGATATATAAAAATTTAATTTAATATATATTTTAATATAATTTAATTAAAAATAGAATGAGGTATGTTTCCAATTAGATTTGAGTTTGTTGAAAAATTAGCTTTTCCAAAAAATTGTCTTTTCACAAATGATAAGATACATTTTTTAAAAACAAAAGATTTTATTTATATTTATTCTAATTTTTATTGAAATATAATCCATACTTTTATTTATGTAGAATGTGCCAAGAAAAAAACGGCTTGATAAAATATTCGGTGAGCAAAATATTATAAATTTTTGTTTAAAATCCATGGTCCCTCTAGGGCATAAGGCATAACTTAATTTTAGCCAATATACAGAATGTCTATTTTTTACAATTTGAGTCACAGTATTTGACTACACTACGTCTAAAATTATATGACTTTTCTTGAGGGGATATAGAAATTTAAACTTTTTAGAATGTAAAAGTCGTGTGAAGTCAAAGTAATTTATTTTGTCCCGAAAACATTTTGTAAACGTTTCCTAAAAGTGTTTCAAACTTTGATTAAAATGATATGCACAAATACATAACTTAGTTCTGAAAGACAATTATTAATATGATACCTACCTCAGGTGTACCAACAGAATTTAAAGAAAAAAGTGTATTATGTTTAAGTAGAATTTAATTTATATTCTAAAGGTGGGTTTGGGTTCAAACCATTCGAATAATTGTCTTTTATTTACGAAAAATTATTTATTTAGATAACATATGCCAAGAACTCAAATTGATATCAGACTTCTAGATATCACTTCTGGGTTTTGAAACATATTATATAATCATTTTTATATTATCGTTTTAACAATAATTTAAAATATACCTTTATACAGCTTCACCACATTTTCTTACTTTAATTAAAATTAAATTTAAAAAAAAATTGTTAAAAACGATGTAAGTCTAACCGCCGAGATGTTATCAAGATTTAGAATATTTGGTTTTTAATTAAACAGTTTTAGGTATGATTTAGTGGTTGAAAAATAAAATAAAATTTATATTTATATAATTAAGTTGCGTATGAAAAGCTCGAATCCCACGCAACTTGTTTATAATAAAATTATCGAATACATAAAAAGCAGCTTTTAAAAATACACAAAACCAAAAGTTTTTCTTTATTTATACAATAGATATTAAAAAAACAAAAATCGTTAAAACTTTCTCTCGTCCAAAAATTGTTTTAAAACTAAAACGTTTGAAAAATTTATCAAAAAATATTACGTCACAAGTGTTTTTGTATAATAATATTATAATATCATTGTTAATAATTTTACAAAAATTATAATATTATATTCACCTCGACTCAGCGCGGTGGCTGTTATGTCGTGATCCATGAATTGGCCCCAGACCGCCAGCATGACGGTGAAATCGTGATCTTCTTCATACGACTGCCGGTGCACATCTTCGCTGACTTGTTTGGCTGACGGCAACTCCGAACCATCTGTAGCTTTCCTTGGTTTCCATACACCTGCAGAGAATCAATAAATCACAATCGATTATATTTTAAAATTACATGTTTAAAACAATAAAATTGCCGTACATGCACACTCTGTAGCGGGAGATTACGTAAATATTAAATACATATCACATAATTGATAGCTTATAAATACATATTAGAGTATTAGGTACATTGCATAATCCTTCACTTGGGCCTTTCCATGCGTTTCCAATTATTATTATTTAATTATTCAATTTTTATCATCCAGTTTATCATATTTATGTAGATTAATCTTTGTTAAAATCTGTTGTAATCATTTGTATTAAATCGTAATATTATGGTTATAACTATTCATAAAACTATTAAAATACATTTTCTTGAAATACAATAATATTTTTAATTGTATATCTATAATATGTGTGAATATTATTGTATTAAATATTCATTTATATTAAAAGTGTTAGATATATTAGATATTTTCACATGGGGGTATTATATTATATTTTCCAATTAGATCAAGAATGTCTAGAACTTACAAATATTGCATATTTTTATACTACTACAATACTTTGAAACGTTTATATTTTTATAATTATATATTATATAGGTACATATACGCAATATTATTTTATTAACATTAGTTAGTTAAACATTTTATTCAAATAAATATGTTTATATTAATTTATACTTATATATACTGGGTGATTATATTACCATTAAACTATTATTGTTTTAAAACTTATTAATATTTGTAAAAATATTTTTACTACATATTTTACAGTTTAAATGAAACAACATTATTAAAAAAATACATATTTTTAATATTTCTTGCCGTTATAATTACTTAAGTTTTTTATTTTTTTGAATGAAAACATACATTTTTAAATTTATATTTTGAAGCATAATATTTTTCAGAGTATTTAAATAAAGTATTTAAAGTTTAGGTAAGCGAAATAGTAGACCAACATTTTGTAGATACCCCTCTCCCTCGTATTCTATTCCACCACACTCATCTTCTAAACTTTTAATATTTATAACTTATAAACTATACTCATCTGAATTTCGTTTTTAATGTACCAAAATATTCAGAAATATTTTTTATTTCAGAGTATGAATTGAAAAATGTATGTTGTCATTCAAAAAAATAAAAAAACTTAAAAAAATTATAACGACAAACAATGTTAAAAATATAATTAGAAAAAAAATGTTGTTTTATTTGAATTGGAAATTATGTAAGAAAATATTTTCAAAAACATTAATAGATTTTGAAATAATGAGTGTTGTTAAATAAAATAATTACTTTGTATAACAGGATCCACTTATATGAAATTTAATGAATATTTTAAAATAGGCAACTAAAAAAAATTAAAATAGGTACTTAGAATCTTGAGAGTATTAGATACATAAGATACTATTAAACCTTTTTTATTTAAAAAAAAATAAATACTTATTTTTGAGCGTCTTGCACAACCTTGGTTATCATACCTAGATATTTTATCTGCTACTCTTTGTCGTTATTCACATCTGCGGTATTGTAGTTGTTTTTGTTATTACAATTTAATTCGTTACAAAAAATAATAATTGTTAAAAATAATAACTATCAAAAACTACTGTATAATAATTAATTTTACCCAAGTGTTATATCATATACGTACAATTTCGACATGATTTTTAATATAATATAGTTTTATGTAACAAACATAATAATATATTTCCTTGAAATTGTGTTTTTCCTTCAAACAAACATTTGCTTAAGTAGGTATGACATAAAGTAAAAACAAATAATGAGGCACGAGTAAATAAAAAAACCCTACGTACATAGTTCTCATCTTTTAAATGTGGCTTATTCATATAAAAATACAGAAATATAATAATTATTATGATGTACCTGAACCTCAGTAATACATTTTTTTCTCATTTTATTCATATATATATAAGTAATAGAAATTATACTTCATTATTAAAAAAATACGCATGTTCATTAAAAAAAAAAACATTTACCTACAGTGTTTATAAGTATATGCAAAAAGTACACTTACTCAGTTTGTATTGCTCTTTTTTGTCTCTATAGCGATGATGGTTTTAATTTGCGTTGTTTTACATACACTTATTCAAAACTTATTCGTTAAGAAGTTAACAGAATTAAATTAATTTGACTTTCAAAGAGTGTCTAGCTTTCCGGTGACGATTACATTAAACGACAACAACAATTATCATATTATATTATAAAAATATATATATATTTTTTTGTTCACGATTTTTTTTTAACCTTTAACACTTATAGACTTATAGAGGGTTTTAATTTTTTTTTTTTTTTTTAAGCATACTATCAATTTTTTAATATTTATCTATTTTTGTTTGACAGTGCACACCACATAGTAATTCGTTATGATTTTGTTGTTTTTTTTTTGAATTAAATTTTTTGACAGTTTTTAACTGCCTGCTAATTTCAAAAACCTATGTGATTAAACATTAGTATTATACTATTATTGTGTTATATGTATGTATGTACCATGTACAATTGTACAAATGTAATAGAAAAAATAATGTCCTTTAATTTGATAAAAAAAAAAAAAACTTTTTTCGATTAGTTTGCTTCTGTCGGTCAACTACGTCTAATTATAATTTAATTAAATTTTGGTTTCGATTAACCGTTCATGCGGTTCATAATGAAAGTATTAAAATATGTTGTAGGTATAATATACAAAAATAACAATGAGAAATATTTGAACTCTTGATTGGAGCGAATCCGTTATACCTGTACCGAAATGCTTGATTATAGATCAATGGGGTTTTGTTGATAATCGAAAAGTCCATATAAATATTAATTTTTTTTTTCAATTATTATGATGAATTACTAACTATAAAATATAATGTGAAAATAAATTGAAAGCAATATCATTTTCAATGATTGTTTTTGATGTAAAGGCACTCGTTTTATCGATCAAAAATGGATATAAAATATGTCCAAAGATCCAATATATATATGCATACTATAAAAATGAATATAAATAAAAAAAAGCGAAAAATGTTTTTTTTTCACGTTTTATGTTTGGTAAAAATGTGTGCTAAAAACAGTTCATTTTTGATTTTATATTTCAAACTTGAATATTCTGATGTATAATATATATAAGTAAGAGGTATATTGAACTATAAAAAACGAAAAAAAGAGTGGCGACACTACATTTTACATAAACAATAAACTATATAAGTATTTATGTATTAATATTTACATTTTAACATTGGAAAGTTTCATAAAATAACACTTTCAAATAATTTACAAAAGATAAAATAAATATGGAGTATATAAAATATTGTGAATATTTAGTTTAAAACGTTTATAACTTAATGATACATGCGTTTGTTTGAAATTCAGTAGAAATGCTTCATTAGTTTCTTTTGAAAACGTTAGGTATTATTTGAGTGGATGCCAATGCAATATTTATTTTTTCTCAGACCTACGCACAACATAAACAATATAATGCATTTGCGTAAAATCGTTTTTATAATTTTTCGTTATTTTAGAATAAAATAATCTGTTACAAAGATTATAAAGAATAATACTTTTTAAGGTTTAACACGTCAATTTTATATTATATTGTTACTTAAAAATTAAAAAAAAAACGCATTTTGTTTATGTTGCACGTTGGCCGGGGAGAAAAAAACAGACGGTGTACTAATCTCGCTAACAACCTCTTAACTATGACGTAAAATATTGTAACATATTATATCTAATAATAAATTATATTATAATATGTAGGTACCGTCAGAATAGTCGGCCGGCAATACTCTACGGAATGGCGTCAGCGCTGCACCCTTGAGTGGCTCAAAGACGTTGTTACAAATGCCTTCCACTGTTCGGTAACGACTCTGGAGTGGACAAATTACCGGTTCGGGACTTATGCATTCAGTGTTATTAAAAATGGTCACGTTTTCTGCCAATATCGTAGCGTCCTGGTTGTTTGTAACGTTTAACAGAAGCCTAAATCACCGAGAGACAAAAATAATTTTTCATTTTAAATACTCTCCTGGCCTTCTGATTGGATTCTGTGTACTTAGGTATATTAAAGTGCAATCTGTAATGGTGCTAGAAAGTTGAATTTATGCAAGTGCGAATAGAAGGTTGCGATAATGAAAAGTCTAGGCCAGGAACTTCACGCTTAAAAAACTCAAAAATATATATGTATTTATGCCCTTAAAAATTATAAAATATGCGCTAAAAATACGCAAAAATGCTAAAACATGTTATTAAAAATATTTTATTTTTCATTAAAAAATCAAAAATTATAAATTTATTTATTAATGAATAAAGCGTTTAAAATTTAATTTTCACAACAAAAAAAATTGTACTTGGTCTTGAATATTATACTGACTTTATTAATGCCAGATGAAAACACATTATGATACTATAACAGACGAATTGATATTAATTGATCGTATTCGGCGTATTTCCCCTTATCGATAATGTTTTTTACAACACACAAATAATTGGGAAAACCCACGATTGATAGATTATTTAATTATATATATTTAACCATTTTAATCTATATTTTTTTTCAATTTATAGAAGATTAATAATATTTCATTGTACATATAAAACTATAAAATATTATTCTCCATGTCACATATTGTTTTAATTTTTTTTTTCAAATAAAATATGTGAAATTTATACTTGAAATTAAAGTATAATGAAATATGCACTTAAAAGAAAACAATTTAAATAATATTTTATTGAACATTTTTTTTTTGTTTTTCTCGGGGTAGGTAATATCGTAATTTAATGTTATCAATAACATTCAAGTTTATTTACTGTGATTTACTGTTAAAACGTATTATTGGATGGAAATGGTACATTTTGAGTTTTGACATAAAAAAAAATTAATAGTTACTTTTGCTTTTGGAAATAGTACGTTTTGACGTTATTTATGAATTTTAAATTGAGTTTAACAATAGAAATAAAAGGTTTGGACAAAATATGATATTAGATTTCACGAATTTTTTCTATAAGAATCAATACATAATTCAATTTTGTCATCAACAGATTCTTCTCGATAAACTCTTTGTTAAAGTTTAATCGATTTTGGTTGTTTTTGTCAGCGTTGCTTAAAATCAATTTATCTTCAGAATGGTAAAACAAAATTAAATCGTCTCTACCGCAAGTTTATAAGAACATGAAGTTGTAACCCATAAGTCGTATCGTTACAACTATGGCAATAATTAATAAGTCAAAATGTAGAACAGGTCAGGTGATACGGTCCAATACGTTAAATTCAAAAATCGATTGGAACGACGTTTCGTAGTTAACTATTACGGCCAAATTAAAGTCGTCTTAAATCACATTATTCCACTAAGCATACTACGCGCAAATTTAATATTTACATTTTACTATGCAAAGATTTAATATGATGAAATCAGTATTCGGTGATTATAAATAAAATCAATACTGGTATCAATTAATTGAATCATTTAATTAAATTCGAAAAATATTGATATGCTAATTATATAATATAGAGTAGTGATATTTACAATTTTATTTTAGTTTTTGATTCTATTGCTGCGTCTTTGATTATTGCAAAATAAACTACCTCCGAAACGTTTTGATAATAATATGTTTTTAAACGATATTTGATTAGTTGTTATATCTATTGTTATATCGATGTCTGTGAAAATGACCTCTATTAATTTAAACTTTTGATAATAGACGTTATTTTTCTTTATACAGTTTTGTATAGAGTATATTGCGGAACAAATAACAATAAATATGTTTTTATAGAGCATCTAGAGTCTGGAATTTAAATCGTATTTAGCTCAACTTTTGCTAATATCAAAGGAATTTCAGTTTGTTTAAAATTAAAATATCGTAGTGTATAGGTAATCCTATTAAATTGAATAACAAAATAATTCGCGAAAAATGTTTTGTAGGTTTACATCTGTTCTAAGCTATTCGATATTTAAAGAAATGTCCAAAAGGTGCTTTTAAAAATGTTTATCTAATAAAAGTGTACGAACACATAAAAAAAAAAGGAAAAATATGAATAAATTAATATGGTTTACGCGAAAGTAGTCGTAATGAAGGTAGAATTTTTTATGTATTTTTTTTTTTTTTTTGTTTTGTTTTATTAGCGTGCTGTTGTTTCGTTGTGCTTAATAGCGTATGTACGTCCCCAGTGACCAACCCCAAAAACCATATCGGGTTGCAAGAGGTCCTCTGCTTGTTCTTTTTTTCATTTATTATCATCATCATAATCATTATCGTCATGATGATCATCGTCATTGTCGCCGTCGTCAGCTCTGATTACCCGTATAACATAAAATCACGATTTGTGCGTTCCTAAGAGTTTATTGCGAAAAACTCTATACCGAACCGATTGATCATCAAGCGCGCTATCGCAGTAGATGCACATTATAAAACCATGACGGGATCGTTCCACAGAAATATTATACTAGTTTTATACGTCGTGGAAAGCAGCTACAATTAATGTACGACCCCAGACGTTATTGTCGCAATGTTATGAGTTGGCGTTTGTTGGTGGCGTGGAGCGGAGAGGGGAATAATTGAAATGAAAATCTAGTATGGAACGCTACATAATAATATTATATATTATATAATATTATTATAGAGTGTCCCGGAAGATGATACAGACTGGTAAAGAAAATAAAAATAAAAACAAGCTATAACTTCCGCGAAACGTTTCTGGCAGTGAGAATTGGCCGGGAGGGGGTCGTGCGTGCACTATGGATGGGAATTGTGTGGAGTAGGTTTGATGGGCGTGCGGGTACCAAGGGGTCGTCTGACGACGAAGCGCCGACCTCAATTTTTCAGTCGCGATGTTTTCGACGTAACCGTTCCGCGCGATTCTTATCGATTCGGGGCCGGACTTCATCACTTGCTGATGACGGTATGATGGAGTCCCGCCATCAATTGTCGGAAAGTTTTTTTCTAAATCCTCTTTGGCTTTCAAACTTTTGTAGCCTCCCTCCACCACGGACATTAAGTCGTCCCCGGTCGCATTTATAACGATGGTCCTCTGAATAATTGATGTCGCTGTTATTCCCGCATCTGCTGTCCATTCCCCGCGCGAATACGCTATGATGAAATTAAAAGCATAAAAAAAAAAAACAAAACACATCAATACTATATATATATTTATATATATAAGTAATTCGTTAATATATTATATAATATATTACAAGTTAAATTAAAATACGTGATACTGACTTTGTAAGGGCCATCTTAGCTGCAACAATGTGTCTACCGTCGCTATTGGGGCCGGTTGAATAACAGTCGAGTCACCTTGACTCCGACCCACGTAATATGACGTGCCTACTATAATGGCCATTAATACCAACGACCTGGAGAATAACACATAAAACTCAGTTACTGTGATGAGAGACAGACGAAAATAATAGTAATAATAATAATAATAACAATAATAATAATAATAACGACCAGTTTTATTATGAGTACTTATAATATATTTTGTGACTCGTACTTCATATGTAGTCCATATAATAAAATCTGGTTTCGATGGACATCGCATTGTTATTGTTATATCACTATTACACTTATACCTACTACTAACTTATCGTTGATTTTTTTAAATGTGTGTTTAAAATAAATAATAGTTTATAATATATATACGAGTTGCAACCGGAACAAAATCTGAACTCTATCGTAGTTAAACGAAGAAATTAATCGAAAAAACTCTTAGCTTTATTTTTAAAAGGGGCTGAAGATAAATTTTAAATTTAACTGTATTGTATTAAAAGCTTTTTTTTTTTAGAGTCCTCTTCTACAATTATATATAATATTATGTACATAGATTTTAGTATAATTTTAGACTGCAGAAGTATACATCTACCGTAATAAGATAAAATAAATAGCAATTCTAATGGGAGTTTGTATTACTTATTAAAAATTGATAAGAATTAATTAATATACAAATCTACACAATACAAACTGATTGTAACATTTAAAGAGAGAAAAATCTTAATTAAAAAATAATAATAATAACAATAAATAATTGAAACGAGGTGCTTATAAAAGTAAGCTACCGGTTACCATACTGCATACTAATTACTAATTAGTAGGAAATAAATGCAAAGTATAATAATATTATTACGCTGCATATATACATAATTATAAAATATTACATGTACAATAATATTTCAACATTATGGCGTCGTTAAATTAAATACAACAAATTAGGCTTTAACCTTCACTTAGCATTATTGTATGAGCAATAAGAACACAAAAATGAAGGTAAAGCGCGTGGAAATCGCCATGAAAAAATTGGTAAAATAAAAATACGAATTTCATTAAGCTTTTCATATTACCCGTTGATTAATAATTACAAATTGTGTTTGTTTATTTTAAAAATCGTTATTAATCAAACATTTTTAAATCACGTAGTAATCGATAGATAGTTTTTTGTTCACGCTAATTGTCGTACGATGTTTAATAAAATACAATTTTATTATTAATTGGCACTCGTCCAATAAAATACTGTTTAGTAGGTATTTAACCATACGCTTGATGGCTTACGTAGTATTATAATATATGTCTATTGAGTGTATTTTATTATTTTTCAATCAAAAACAGTCCTTGTAGGAGTATGCATTGAGTATATTTTATGACAAAAATAAAATAATTAATCTGTGTTTGTAATAAATCATCAATATTCACTGACACAACGTGACTGGTACCGAAAACGAACGACGAAAGCGCCCTTTATGTAAATACTGCAGTCGAAATTATGACGGTAAGGAAATTTTCATATTTTATAGATACCACTACTAAACCAATACAAAACTATAGAGGATTACATAGAGGATAATACATTTAACGTAAAACATTCATTATTTCAGAAAAACACTAACGTTTTTGAAAATATTTCTTTTTTTATAAATTTTAGTTGTTATATAAGAAGATTTTTTAATTTGAATTTACTGTTTTTGTTGTTATCATATTTTAAGTTTTTCACTCTTATGGAGATATTAATGCGAATTCTTATACAAACACAACAAAATCATGATTTGCTTTCATGATGGTGATAGCTAAATAAAAATACGCTCGGTATCTATTTTTGAATAATTTACGTCGCTGTTTTATCATTTATAAAATAAGATAACGTTACAGTCGTTACACGTCGATGTCATAGTGAGTCTATTATTATACTAAAAATACAAAATGTATATACGTACGCGTTTATGTTTATTCAAAATGCAGGTTATATAATGGCTAATCTGTAAACAAGAGCAGTGTGCTAAAACGTTTTTTTAAAGGGCTAAAAAGGGACTTCAAAAATTGATTACATAAATTATGTGTGCACAGTATCTATTTGTGCAAATAGAGTTTTTGGAAGAATTTCGTAACCACCGATCAGTTTATTATATGAGATATTTTGTTGTACAGGAAGATCAAGATATTATGATTGTGATTTTGAAACGCGATAAAAAATATAATATTGTTATTATCGTCAGTTTTGCGAACGATTTATGTGTTACGAGTCTTCTACGGTATAAACATCAAGATAAAAATAACTTTTTAATAAACGCCGATTACAATTTTTTAAATATCCTGTCGATAACGTTTTCCAAAGACCGTTATATAATGGACATTTGATCACACCATTGATGTTAGCAGGAATCTATCGAAAAAATGCATTGTGATCATCATATTATTATGCAATATATGTTATATATACGTACGCTATTCGTTATACGAGTATACAATATTATTTACACTACGATCCGTGTTATATTTTTGACGTATTCCAGGATTAATAATACACTGATTAAGTGACATTATATAATATCACACAGCGTGCATCAGTTTGTCGACCATTATTTCCTGACGTAAATGTATAAACAATTCATGTTTATACCATATACAATGTGTAGCTCAGTATTTGGGTTCCCTTAATGCATCAAATGTATATTTGAACAAAATAACATTATTAACATATAATATTAACAACAATTTGACCAAAAATTGTAGATGAGATTTTATATAAAATACCGAGTCTAAAAATGTAATATGTATTTACTTATAAATAATAACACATAAGGTAAAATGTAATTGGTAAAAGTTGTGACTAAATTAATGTATAGAGTGATTCACCAAGCATGTTTATTACAATTTTAACTTTACTGATGAATTAATTAAAATTCTGAATTTTAAAAATTTTCAAATATACTTAAAGATTATACTTTTAATTATTTGATTTTTTATACCATTTAAGACTGATTCAGTGGTGGTGATAAAAATGTTATTTTTTTAAATGCGAACAATTTTTGATTACTATAAATAATTACTAGCAGATAATTCCTTTGAAAATGTCAATGTATCTAAATACAAATTTAAACTAGTAATTTTAATTTAATTTTTATAATTGGATCTGTTATTTATTATACTAGGAAAATTTTTTATAAATTATAAGTTGTTGGTGAATTAATATTTATTATAATTTTCAAATAATTATTATCATAGCTTTCATATTTTTCAAACATATTCATGTCATGAACGTTTAAGCCTTGGTACAAATGGAAAAATAAATTCCAATAATTGGGATTTTAGTGAACTCATAAATAATATTAAGGGAAAACATAGTAGTGAACGTGATTGGCAAATCATTCTATTTATAGTATTATCATAAACAAAGTCTATGGGAAACGAATGAGCGAACACTACAATAGTCCAAAGTCCTATAGCCGGTAAATGCTTGTGGTATATTGTGTACAATTATTATATTGTGAGGTGGTTTTTTTTTCTTATGTTCAACCACCATTTTCTAAACCTTCGACTTTATCGCGGACAATTCGGATACACCATTGTACAACATATAAATATGCACGCACACACATACGTAATTTGCCGAAGGGTCCGAACCCCTAATTTGTCATCCCTTCTCCGACTGGTTCGCGTCCGTGGAATTGTAGTAATTAAGCGACAACTAATAAATTACCTAGAAAGCGAATAATTACGACCACGTCTTCGTTACACACACACACACACACACACACACATACACAGTTTACAAGCACGCGTACATATATTCGGGGAAAGGAGGGAGCTTATGAGAGAAAATGGCAAAATCGCAGTTAAAGTAGAACACAAAATAAAAAACAAAAACAACCATGTGACAAAGGTCACATGAGAAAATATAGTGTTATTTTATATTTTCTTTACCGTGGTAGCCGATACCGTGCGAGGGGCCGTTCACCTCGTATACACAAGCTTGTTATATCTTGCGAGTATACATAATATATTACCGAGGTTATAATACACACTCACTTACATAATATTATATCATAACATTAATCACCCGCTTTTTGGTCCTTTTTCGGTGACCGACTTACGGATTAAAAATTGAAATATACCGTGATTCGTAAGTCATAACTCGTTGGTGATGTGAGCTGCTTTTTTAATATAAGTATTATTAATGAAACATCTACTATAGTACTATTAGAAAATATTTTGAAAGATTAGTAGGTGTTGAATGAGATATGTATTAATATATGTTATATTTCAGAATTGCCTTCAAAAGAACGACTGTATTACTATTAAATTTCTACTAGATGTTGTAATAGAATTGCTTATCTAAGACGCCGCGTCACTTTAATAATTGAATATTACATTATTGAAACGCATTAAAATAAAACGCCTACACTGAGTTCTGTCATTATCAGGTGTACACGACATACGTTTTAGTTAGTGCAAAACATAAGTTATGGTTTTATTGCGATCACGTCGTACTTATTTCTTTCAAAAGTTATTACGTATAGTGTTTTAGTTGGGTTAGTTATAATATTACATAGTAGCTTTTAAACCGTTAAAATATAGTATCTACCTTCGTATACTTAGTCAATTTTATTTTATTTCGTTAAAACGTGTTTAAAAGTAAAAATTAAAAATACAATTTTTTTTTAATTTTGACTAATCAGACAAATGTTATCATAAAGAGTATAATTTCATTATTTTTTTTTTTTTTTTTTTTTTTTAAATGGTCATAAACGTAATCCTGTATTATGTAACCTACTTATACTTGGTTCCGTAGGAATTATAAATTGGAAAATCGATATCCTTAGTTTAAAGGTAATACATTTTTTTCTCTCGCATTTTCCCATAAAACGGATTAGTTCACATAAGCTGGAATACTACGTAATGTTCAAAGCATGAATGAGGCAGTCGGTTTGTTATATAAAGGCATCATTTTGAACGATATGCGGTCGCAAAGACATTGACATACGAAAGTAAAACGGGAAAGGATTAAGCAGCTCGAAGCCTCTACATTATGATCGGCCATTTTTATCAGATAATATATTTTTTCTAGATGTTTCAATTTTTTGTT